AGCACCCGCTACCCTATTTTTACCTTACTCACTCATCGAGCTGAGCCCTTCTGGAGGAGCCGCCAATTGTGCAGCTACTCAAGATTTTCCCAGCACTTTATGGAACCCGAAGGTTCATTACAATGTTCACAAGAGCCCTCCACTGGTCCCTATCCTGAGCCAGATCAATCGAATCCATACCAACCCATCCTATCTAAGATCAATTTTAATATTATCCAACCACCTACGCCTTATTTTTTACCTACTTCCCCTAAAAAAAAAACTAAAGTAGGCTTATGATCTCGCCTTGTCTGTGTGTTTGCACACACGGTAAAGGCTAGGTAAACACGTTCCTTCTCCAACGAATACACGCAATAATATAGGAATTATGGGACATGTAGTCTTCTGTGCGGTCCGTGTCCTTCCCAAAAGAGTCTGAAGGCTTCCAGAGCCGTCAGACAGTAAAATATGGTCATGAGTCCCGTGAGACTGGTAACCAAGCATCATTGTGCTGGCGAGGGCCGACACCAATTTAGCAGTCAATCAATTCTTCCCATAACCTCTTGCTTATAATTTTAATATTACTCTCTAATCTAAAGGCTAGACGACCGATGAACTGGCCTTCATCTCCCACCAAAGATATGATTAGGTTTTCTTCTCCACAGCGTTCAAACGCTATTTACATTTGTTACGTATTACAATTTTTATTTTTATTTTCCAGACATTAATTTGTAATCTTTATATTTCATTCTTCATTCACCATTACGTGTTCTTAAAATGCCAATGCTGAAGAATATTCCTAGAACACAAACATTACTAAAGACGATTATATGCTGTATGAAGCACATAAGAACAAGACTTGTATTCGAGAGTTGCTCGGTTCGAGTTTCAGCTGGGATATCGGCTATCACAAGTTCGTTTGTGGTTCTCTTCAGTATCGCCAAACAAATGCCGGCATAGGTATCTCGATTAGGTCACAATCGCTTCCTTCCAAATCCTATCAACTCAATGTTTCATCCTACCATTCGAAGATATACAGGGTGTCCAGAAGGAAAGGTCAGTATTCTGAGAGGTCATGGTATAGGCCATTCTAAGCAAAAAAAAAATGTATATTTACACGTGTCCTGTTCCGAACGGTTTCCGAGATACAGCTATTTCACTGTACAGTTCCAAAATTGTCGATAAGAGAGAGATACGACGTACTGTTTCTAATAAAAGGTAAAGTAATCCTTGTGCTTAACTAAGTAAGCGCTATGCTATGAAGACGTATGGGGGAGTGGGTGTATAGATCCAAATTTTCTTTACCTCGGCACTAGAGGTGAGTGGTAACCTTCACGCCCCGTCCGCTTTATTCCTGGGAAAGAGCCCCAGTACCCGTTATATAGGAGATTGGGTGAACACCGGAGCCGGTCTGGGAGACATGAAAAAGTGAAAATTCTTGACCCTACCGGGATTCAACTCCGACCTCTCGGTCGTCCAGCCCGTCGCCAGTCGCGATATAGATTGCACTATCCTGGCTCATAATACTTGTATTCATTGTTCAAGTTAAATAATTGGTATAGTTTACCTGGTATAATGCATTTTCGAAAATTCCACCATCAACATCAGTGCACTTTGCGTCTCGTGTGAGGACAGGCGTGTTGCTCGTCTGTACAGTGTACAGTGAAACCGTTCGGAATAGGACACGTGTACATTTACAATGTCTTGCTTAGAATAACCGATACTGTAACCTAGCACAATACTGACCTTTCCTCCTGGGACACTCTGTATAGTCTTATATACTGACAGCGCTGTCAAATATACCACATACAAAAAGAACATGCTTTAGGCTATGAAGGGTTATACTACTGTATTTTCATTTTTCGCAAGATGCTGAAGATCTGCGACACAACGGTTAGTGTGCAGAGATGTAAGCAATGGGTTTTGCACGAGGGCCAATTCAAACACCTCAAAATCCTATGCGGGCCGTAAGCCAAGTAACAACCAAAGCCACATATCATGAACAAAATTTCACACTGTTCAGGTGGGTCCCTTTTTTTTTATTATTAGTGGGGTGAGACTAAGTCCCTTGTACTGCGGCCACTTCTGGCCTATTGTACCATTCCCAGATAATAGGTGAGGGTGATTATGGAGCAATTGGTGGAATGAAGATTGGCAGGGGAAACCGAAGTACTCTGAGAAAACCTGCCCCAGCGCCACTTTGTCCACCACAAATCCCACTTGACCAGACCCGGGATAGAACCCGGGCCGCCGCTGTGGGAATCCAGCGACTAACCGCTTGAGCTATGGCGCGGCCCTACGTGGGTCCCTTGTCACGACGGAATGGCACGTCCTCAGGTTGCGGACGGAGGAAACGCCCTCCGGATACTGAGGGAAGCTGCGAATATATTGAAGCAGTCGCGGACAAAACACAAGGGGTGGTCCTCCAGCTTGGTGGTTATGCGTGGGGCTAACAACTCCTCACCATTTTAAGAGACAGAAATGTAAAATGTAAAGCTGCCCCCTCAGTGAGGGGGGAAGTCACCTATTCAATTGGGCCCCTTAGAAAGAGCTAATCTCAATCACTGGTCCAGTTATCCGAGGACGGAAACATAACCAGTTTCCGAAACGTCGTGTTTTCTAGAATACCGGACGAGGAGAAAAGTCCAAAAACCCAGTAGTTCTGTGTGTTATACATCATCGTCAGAACCCTTTAGAATGTGTTATTTTCTCTGCATTTTTAATTACCCATATTATTAGAAATACGGAGGGAAAAAGGTTTGACACAACCTAAATTTGTTGTTACTGATAGGGGGCCACCACATTTTGATTGCACCGCCCCCCCCCAACAACTGTAAATGAAACCCTGTATTTTCAGCAACAATTTTCCTTCTCTTTACTTTAGCCATTTTAGGGCACACAAACCTACATTTACTCGTAAAAACTAATGAATGAATAACACTCATGTGCTAGAAATTTATCCGTCGGTAACACTACTGAACTGATATATCGTTTACTAATATCAACTGCGTGCACGAAAATCTACGTCACTTTCATACATTCTTTCCATTTGCCATTGTTGCTTTCTTCATTTTTCTAAGTGAAAATATTTTGGTATTCTCGGCCATTAAAACACAAACTATAGAGATAAACCATAACAGACGTTGCTGTACAATTTTGATCTTTGCCAAACATGAGTCAGAAACGTAAAAGCCTGCTTTTAAACCAACATCACGACAATTCGAAAACAATCGATCTCTCGAAGTCAATACCGCAACATTCAGGGTAATATTATCTCGCGTTAAGCTAGCAATCGATCAACAATTCTAGCGTACAAAAAGAGTACAAATTCACACACAGCAAATCACGATGAATTGTTGAGTTGACGTAGCTGCTAAAATAGCAGCTGTCAGTCGACCTGATCTCACAATAACAGAATATTAAACAGCGCCAACAACTGCCAACAAAATATCTACTCTAATATACATGGCAGTAATATGGTGTTTTAAATGTATGCAGACGAACAGTTCCATCTTCTGAGATATAATGCCGTGCAGTCAGCTGAAAGTCAACGGTAGGTTTCAGGTAACATGTCGCCTCCATCGTCAGGGTCGAAGAATAGGCCAAGGAATAAACCAGCGTGAAGCAGATAGCTACCATTCGACCCTGAATATAGAGGCGACACATTCCTCCTAAGTCCGTTGGCTTCCAAAGGATTACATGGCGCTATACCCCACAAGATAAAACTTTTCATGATCACTGCTGTCAGAACCTAAAATCTTAAATATATTTTTTTACTCACAACCCTATGGCCATTCACGGCCTGTTACAGGGATAGCTTTACTTTTTTTTTACTTATATATATATTGTTTCAAAAATATTATGCGAATATAATTTTACAACCAACGTTTTAGTTTATCGTTAGTGGAATTCATTCGCGGGCAATCCTGCGGGATTTTTGGAGGCGGTTCACGGGTTACTGCAACAATTGTACCTACTGGTTGGCACACCTCAAGGAAAAACGCACATCACGGGTAAATCGGAGGGCAATGTTATAACGGATCACACCGAATCACTCGGAAAATGTGAACAAAACTGAACTCGCTCAAGGTGGGCGTGCGGACGACGGCAATTGTTAAGCAGGGAAATTACCGTTTGAGTTCCTTATTAGGCGTTAATTTCTTGATCTCATTACTTATTAGAAGATTCTGCACCATGTAATTTGTTATAGAAATAAGGCGGGCCGTAATGCCAAGACATTAAAATCTAATCTTGTGGAAAGAACTGAAGAAGCATAAGGCACCTGAGAAAAAACAAGAATTGTCTTTGGGCTCACCCATTTTATCCAGTAGGTACCAAAGGAACTTTCTCCGAAAAGCAAAATGGATAGAGCGTGAAAGTGATTACTTATTTTCATTCAATGCCTAAGTCTTGAACAAGTCGAGCAGTATGCTGACGCCCCCTGTACGCTTATATGGAGTGGAGCTTAGGCGCAGGGGCCACTTTACCATATGACCATTTAAGAGTGAATATTTCCACACGTAATTTTTCCCCCTCCATCAGGAGGCTTCCCGCCGCGCTGGGCGTTCTTTCCGGAGTGAACCGGCTCCTTTAGTGGTCCTGAGAAGGCGACAGAGTGTACGGGATTTAAAATTCCATGCAAAGAATGTTGTCAGGCTTCATGTATTATTTGCTTCTCGAATATCGTCCATATTCTGTGCTCGAAGACGCGGTATCTGAAGGTTACGAAGGACAAGGTCGACTCTCAAGATTGACCTACGTCCGGTGCCCAACATTCACGTTATCAGTGTAGGTCAATAATAATAGGCTGACCTTACAACACGTATGACTGTTTCAATAGACAAGTAAAAATTACATATATAGACACTGTAATGACTGCAGCATACCTGTAAATGGGCGTGCCTAAAAAATATTGTCACATGTCCCATGCCAAGAAAAAATTATCAGGTATATTTAACAATGAATTCAAATAAATTATTCCCATAAGTTACTGGGACGAAAACTTTCATGTATATACTCACCACCCATCTTCGTGTGCAAAATGAAGACTGTCAGCACAAATTCTAAATCGTTTCGGTATCCCAAGTCGCAAATAACCTACACCACCTTCGACGCTCAGAGTGTAGTAGGAGAATGAACCCAAAGCACGTAACTTCGCCGGTCGAAATAAACCAATCGAAACCAATACTCTGAGCTTTGGGGCTGTGCTGCCATCTATACAAACCATAACGAATGTACAACTGCGAAGATTCGGCAGATAAACAACCTAACAACCCATTCGATATTAGATTATTTTTGTTTCTATAAAAGCACAACACATTGTTCCGAAAGTGTTGTGCTTTTACACGTCGACATATTGTAGCAGCGTCCACGCAGCAAACATAACTGTGTACATTTTAAACAACGACAGTGTTTTCATGATTGTACTATGTGCCTCTGATGATGGTTGTATTAAACCGAAACATGTAAGGCAGAAGTGATAAAGAAGTGACCTACAAATTGTTACACTGGACGGACTTTCTATTGATTCTATTGACTTTGTGATTGATAGTGTAACGGACCAAAAATGAAACAATTAAAAAAAAATTATATTATATTAATTATACGTTAATTTATAAACGAAATAGGTTCGTGTCCTTTTATCTTATCGCCTTTCTTCACGGGGGCTGAACTTGTGCCGCCTGTCTATCTTGAGAAGAACGTTCTTTGATATCGTCCTGTGTTTGTTCATGGTGCGCCACGATATCAAAGAACCTTCTTCTCAAGATAGACAGGCGGTACAAGTTCAGCCACCGTCAAGAAAGGCGATAAGATAAAGGACACGAACCTATTTGGTTTATAAATTCTAACTTAAATAACAAAAATTTAAAAATTTTAATATACCAAGACAGCCACTGTACTTGTGAAAACTTTGGATTTTCTATCTATTGTGCATTACAAACATTGTATGTGTATATATTTTAACATTCAGAACACCCATTGTAATGGTGGGTTCCAAACAGTATCGATATCCCTCTGATGATGGTCTATAAGGACTGAAACATGTAAGGGCATAAAGAATTGAAGTAATAAAAACTTCAACAGTCACACTCGACGGAGTTGTTTTATCTTCTATAATACCTGTAATACATTTCATGACAGTGAAATAAAATGGCACATACATGAAAATTCAGATAACAGGGGGTGGATAATGAGGGCTACCTTACTTGATTGTTATTATGAAATATACAGGCTACACCTTTGTATTCAAATGGAACAAATTCTTTTTTCCATTGGTCTCACTATACATTAAATTACCTAAAAATTCCCTAAATAACTTCTGTGTACATTTTAATTTCTTGTGATGTTTCTTATTAATGCTACTAACAAGCAAACTTTCACTTCTCTGTAATAAAACACGTTTCTACCACTGATTAATTTGTGCAATCATAAGGACCTACTTCAGAACATCACGGTAATGAACAGCTGCCCAAACGAGAACAGGGCAATGTCAGAAACAAGAGAACTTTTGTCTATTTTTGTACAAGCAGGGAAACCCTCATTTCAGGTCTTCTGGGAGCAGTGGATCTGAACTTTTAAATTGGGGATAATCTAAAACAGAGGTAATTTAACACTGAGATTACTGTCTTGGGATCATGTCCATTATAGTAACATCTGCCACTTATGCAAAAATGCTTAAAAGAAATTCTGATGGCTATTACACCAGCTATGAACAGTGAAGAAGCCAGTTGATGATCTTGGTCATGGCAGTGGTGGTTATACGTTCGTACTGGGATCCTGATACGGGACACGAAGACGAGGGCTGAAGTCATACAACTCGGGACAGGAGCCAGTGTGGCCGATGTTATGAACACAATAAACCCAGAGGTTAAATAAAAGGTGCAAAATCTTATAAGACACATGCTTCAAGGACTGATCAATGGAATTAAAGAGGATTTCAATTCATGAAACCTAAATTGAAGGATTTTGTTCAGTGTTCAGTTTTTATACTCCACATCAAATTTACCATCTTCAGGCCAAAACCTAAACTGGTCTTCACTGTGCCTGAGCTACAGCACAGCCCTCACTGTACCTTTACTGTCAGCATTTAAATCTCTTGTACTATGGCAGTGATGGTCAGATTTGATTTGTGTCATAAGCAGTGTAATACTATGCACGCTGAAGAGACACATGCAAGAACAGTTGTGCAGTACAGGGAAAATAAAAGTTTAAGCTGATGAAAAATGTTCTTCACTCCCTGAATACAATTCCAACCTTCCTTCTTGCAGCATCATCATCACATTCCAATGGCTTTTGTTAAAGGTTAACAATAAGACACAACAGTATACTTCAATATTCACAAATGTTTCCAACACAAACATCAATTTATGAGCTGCAGAGCACGATGACACGGTTCTGGTTGCTGACAATCACTAACATAAATGTTAAATAAAAAATACTGTATATTTTTACATGGCAAATTGTTCATTTCTTCATATTTTGGCAGATTATATTAGATTCACACAATAAATCACCATGCTGGGTTGCCAAACCGCTGCAGAGCTTTATCTTGCGTAACCAAGTCTAACTGGACCTTCTTACGCATGTAGAAAATTGGGCAATCACGGCTGAAACAGGATGCACCATCTTGCATTAGAAGGCTTCCATAAACAAAGAACAGTAGAACTTTTAAAATTATATATATAGCTATGCATAACATGCGTTCTTACCTTGGAAATAGCACTACAAGCACGTGTTCTATACAGGAAAACGGGCTGGAATTATTTGTGAACAAAGAATACTACATAACTACCATCAACATCAGAATGGATACTACAGCCCAAAAAACAAAACAAGTGCCATCTCTGAGGAAAGGCCAAATTACATACTAAGATGATGGAATGGCAATAAAAAAGAAATGTATTCTTCCTATAGAATTATGAGTATAATGCATTAGGAAATTCAATAATAGTTAATGTCTCCCAAAAGATCTACAATAGTGCTGTCACTGCCTTTCCTCCTATTAGCATCTCATCACACAGTCTTCTCTATCTTTGCTACATTCCCCGTTATTTCCAAGGCTGCTACAAAATTACAGAACTGAAACAGTCACCAACCTAGTGCAAAGCACTTCTTCATGTAGAGAACCTTGACAACGTTGGCATTGGGTCCAAAGTCTGCAGAACCTGTCCTCCAGAGCAGTGAACCGAGCGAGCTCTTGTTGGTACAGACGCGCTTCATCTGGCGCACAGTGCTTACATAGGGGAGTTCCAACTTCAGAGAGAACAGCCTTGCAGCCCAGACACGTTTCTTTACGCAGTGTAAATGCTGATAAGGCACCAACCCGTGATGTTACAACAGCTTTGGTACGCGTATGATCACCTCCTGTCATAAATAAGCATATGTCAGGTTTCTTATAAGCCAGTTTCATAATTATGAACTTCTGACTGCAGACCATGTTTCCAAACTGATTAACTTACTCAGCAAAATGGACTCTGCCTTTTCACCCAGAATTGGTGCAAAGATCCTGAGAAGTGGTTTGGACAACTGATTTTCCAGATAATAGCTCGAATCAATAGGCACACTGTTCTCCAGAACATAGATGGGATCCTAGACAATAAAAATAACTTCCTGTTAGATGAAAAACATTAACAATCCATAAAAAAAAAATACTAATGCTGACATATGGAGACTATGAAATATTTCCTGCTGGTTACCACCCGCTTTCATTGGAAACGTTTCTGGCAGGAACAAAATATTACTTGGTCTTGGCAAGACACAATACATTACTACAGAAATTATAAACCAAGCAAACTGGTTCAGGCAGTGAAGCTTCTGCAAAGGCCAGACTAATACCTTAAATTTGATGACTGCTACCTCACGCATTCATTTCATTTCACCCATTATCATCCAAATATCTAATGCTATACAGTCCAGAGTTACTGAGAGCATCATAATAAAATGAATCAGACTTATTACATCTGTTAGCTAAATATAGTTTGAAATAACATAATTTCTCTCCAACAAATACTTACTAAACCATCCTTCCCCCATAAAATTCACTTCACAGTGAAAAAGCTCTCTTGCTTATAAAACCATCTGACACTGATACCTGACCTCCCATAGTCCTACAATTACAAACAAATCAGTATCCCTCGTTTTAGGAACATTCAATTTATGAATTTTTGCTATGACAAAGCACATTAAAAATCCATTTATTTTTCACTTAAGAAACTTTATTTTTGCTACAATAAACAACTTATGTTCATAAGTTTTGCAGCACTTACATGTAAAGTACATGGGAATTTTATTTTCAATTTCTGAATTTTCACCTTACAAACAGGTTTCATGGAATGAACTACCTCCATAAATAGAACAACACCTGTAGCGTCTTCCTAAATATGTAAAACTTGAGTTTACAGATAACTTATATGAGGTTTGAAGCTTTCACTGAAATGACGTGTACCCTGGAGATGGAAACAGTACGTTCCTCTGAAACACTGGTAACTACCTACCAGACTAAACCATGTCATAACCCAGAAAACCACAATTTTTTAAAAGCTCTCCCATGAAATTCTCAGAAATGATACTGGGCTTCTGTTGAATTACATGGTCATGCTCTTTCAGCACTGCAAATAAAATGTCTGTAAAACGCCAAGAATTTTATGTTTTACAGTTTCCATTAATTTTGCAACAACTAAAACCTGTATACATTATTTCAAAAGTCTCACTTGTACACTTTTTGTCTAATATCAAACTGATCTTTCCTTTGTAATCTTATATACTTTACACATTACATACTTCAGCTTTCATATAAGCAGGTGTGTTCTTGGCGGCAGCAATAATCACATAGGGAACACGATCGCCCAGTTTTGGTGCCGTTCCTGGGTCTCGCTTCTTCATTTTTGCAGCAAGCTCTACATGAGCCTGCTTTGCTGCATAATCAGACTTTGCCAGCTCTTTTGTAATCACCAGCTGTGAGATATCAATACGATTACAAAGCAAGTCAGAGATCACCTGCTTCGCATATTCCACTGCTCCATCAGGGTCTCTGCAACATAACCAACCTTTATTTTAAACTAAGTTCCTTCCAGTAAATTCAATGCTAGACACAGGATAATTCCAGTTTATTTAAACTTCAAAGTCAGGGGTTACATAAAACAGTCTCGAAAACAAAGTCAATACCGTGACTAACTATATGCTTGACAAATCATGCTCAATTCCTGGAATTCTCTTTGTCCACATAGGACACAACCACCCTCATATCAAATACGTACCAAAGATTCTTACCCGGTGAGTATAGCAACCAGAATTCAAAGATGACCACCCACTACCACATAGCAGTTATTTAGTTTGCGGTATATTTAATGACAATGTTGGTAACACAAGACTATGTAATGCCAAATGATTGGTTGACAGTTATGATACTATCCAGGCATTCATCTGGCAGGGCTGAGGAAAACCACAAAAAGCCTCAGTCAGGATAGATGAGAAGCCAGCTGATATTTGAACTGCCCATCTTCCAAATACAAACCAGAAGCACTAGTGCCTGAGGCAGCTCGCTCAACCTCTCAGTCTAGTGTTGAAATGTTTCCCAATTGGTGCTTAATTACGCAAAATATAAACTTTACCTTTATACATGGTAATACATGCAAGATATATCATACACCAAGTTCAATCAATGTCTCCTATAGGACTGAAAATACATAAACGTTTATGCCCTTCAGTAACTTGAACTTGAAAGGAATAAAATAAATTGCTTGTCAAACTGTAATACAGATCCATCATAGCAAGTTTACTTCAAGCCTATGAAGCATTTATGATATTGTTACTTGTGAACAGATGGTCAGACAGACACAGTGAAACCAAAAGGTATAAAGTTGTCCCTGTGCTTAACTAATTGAGCACTATACCATGTAGATGTATGGGGCAGTGGATGTATAGACAAACGATTTCTTGACCGCGACACAAGTTGGTGGTGAGCAATCAGCTTCATTTCCTGGCCCCTTTGGCCCCCAGGGAAAGAGCCCCTGGTACTCACTGGATAGGCCCCAGAGCCAGTCTTGATGACATGGAGAAGTGAAAATTCTTGCCCCACCAGGACTCGAACTCCATCCCCTCGGCCATCCAGCCCATAGTCAATATCAACTACGCTATCCTGACACTCTCAAAAACAAAAGGTAGTTTCCAAAAGGTATATAAGAATGAAATAAAAAGATGTATGGGACTCATAAGGAAGCATATCAGAAACTCAGCAATTCGGCTCAAGCATCGACACTTCTACTGTGTAGTTGGCAGGTGCATGATTCATATCTCGGCCAGGAAATAGGCTATTCTGACTGAGATTTTTTAATTTCCTTAGTCTCTCTAAGCAAATGCCAAAGCAGTGACTTAAAATCCTGCCATGACTGATTTCTTCTGCATCCTTTCCAATTCATTATTTCAAAATTACGCCATGACCACTTCCTACCACAATCATTCACTGATCATCCCACTGTTAGGCACCATACCATTTGAGTTACTGCCACTTTGTTAAATAAACCACAAATAAAACAAAAACACCATAACATTCAAGAGCATGCTCTATAAATCCCATGTCAATAGACTTAACATTAAAAGCAGTGCAAGTAGCTTTCACATTGCAACGGGGATATTACCTGTCGATGAGCAGCTTCTGCAGGCACATGTTCATCATGTTCGCTACGAGCGGTGAGTTGTCCCGACGAACAGTCTCGATGCCCTTACAGTCCATTTTGTCATACTTGTCTGGTCGAGTGAAATACAGTCCAGCATAACGTTTCTTGCTGATAAGCAGGTATGGAAAGTATACCTTCTCAAACTCCAGCCGGATTGGTGGCGGAAATTTTGTACTAACATAATTGGCAGCGTCACGTCCTAGTTCCATGGCTTCTTCCAATGTTTTTACACCGAACTTGACCATGACAGAGTCTGTATCACCATAGATAACCTGCACCAAACACATATCTCTGTAACATAACTCAAATATTTCTTCTGCAGTTTATGCTGAGACAAGAACATGAATTAATACTGCATGCAGAAAAACAAGTTTCTTCTTGCATGGAATTTTAGGCTCCAATCTGGTGACTATGAAGATAACTGTCTTCTGGGCTGACATCATGTAGTCTGGTAGATCACTACTAACATCCTCCATCATCAGGGTAGGGAAGTAAAGAAGTGACCATGTCTTTCTGAATCACTGCAAATGATCTCACTGACTACACAGTGTCAGCCCAGAAAACAGCAATCTCTTTTTGGGGAGGGGGGAAGGGGGAATGAGAATTTCAGAATATAAAAAAATCCAAGAGGACTTTACCAGAGCAGTCTCAACAACTTACACATTTTATACCACATAACATCTGGGACTGGTAAGTTACAGAAAAGCTTAAAGTTATCGTACATAAAACATAATACTCGTTTTGACATACAGAACTTGAATAATGACTATTGCAGATACACTAGATTCATATACAGCTATCAGTAATACTGTGAGAAGGCAGCAGTACATCCTAATTTGTTTTGCGAAAATACTAGAGGTAACTACGACCAATATTTCATGTCACCTAAGTTTTGTTATACCAGTGACATACATCTGAGATGGTATCCCTCAGTCAGTATAGTGCCCAGGCTACAGGACCAATAACAAGAACCTGATTCTCAAAAGAACCAAGACACTTTGTGACACACTATCCAGACTAGATCTAGGGCTTTGCCAGTTTCCTATATGAGTATTAGGGGATTTTCCTTAGGGGGCAAAGCATTCAAGCTACTCACCTCCATCTAGTGGGAAGGTTAAGTAGGTCTGGAATTATACCCATTCTACCCTGTCTTCATGGTATGATCCTTAACTAAGTACAAGAATGTGTTTACCTCAGCATCATTTTCGCAGCCGTTTGTTACGTTGTAATGCTGCTCAACTTCCTGTTTCGTCTGCTCTATCATAGCTCGTCCATATGCAGTGACACTCTGAAACACATACATACATAGAGCCAAGACAGGAAATGTGTGAACAGGATTCCATGATTTCACATGCCTCATTTGTCTTAATTTTGTAACCATTCTTTAGATGTGATTCACGCTTAGGTCGACACAGTCATTATGTCATAGAAACAGTTACGACACTATCAATACTCCTTAGTGTATGTCCACTTTTAAACATGACTCAATTAACAGCAAATCAGATCCATTTCAAAATAATCTGATTAGGAATACTGAAGATGTGTAAAATTAGTCATGAAGACCTGCATTACAACTCAGTGACCATCATATTATTTATTGCAGACAAAAATTGTTTACAGATATAAACCCACTAGTGTAAAGCTATTTAGGTTCCTACTGTTGGCATATAGCCTGATAAGAGACTTGCATTAATATGCAGCATTGTGCTTTTGTTGTCAGACAGAGATGGCACAGGGCATAAATTTAAGTTTTACCATATTTTCCTGAATATAAGCTGCACCCCCAAAATTATCATTCTTGACTTTCAGCATTCTCTCTCTTCTCCCACTGCGAGACACACTGAAAACCTTCGCTTCCATGCCACTACCTACCAGTACTGATGCATGTGGATACACTAAGGAAGTTTTACAGGTTCTAGACAATTCAACTCACTTTTTTCAAAGATCCGCTTATAAACAGCATACCGATTTAAAAAGCCATCAATTCTGGGGCAAAAACGCAATTTATACTTGAGCACACATGGTACTTTAGGGAATCATGGTATCACAGAGTTTGAGAACAACTGTAATAAACAGATGAATGCATTTTTGAGGTACATGACCCAAAAATACAGAATACAGTTGTGAAATAAACTAAAGTGGGTCAGTGTAGAGTCCTATAACAGGGATCTTGTTTAGTGCTGATGAATCCTCATACCCACAGCAAATGGAACTTCACATCCTGTCAGTGTTTCCTTAAATTATAATCAGCTTCTATCTAATAATGAAATAAAATGATGAAAACACAAACACTACATGAAGTAAGGCGTCTGTCTCTCACCCCAGATATCTCAAGACACGGGAGTTTTCCTACTTGAGCACCAGTGAAACCATAAACAGAGTTGGCACTAATTTTGAGTGCAAGTTGTCGGCCATCCAGGACCTTCTTCCGGAAGGGATCCTTCTCTTCTTTCAAGTCAGCTTTTGCCTTCTTCCGGGCAGCCAATAGGTTTTCTAAAATCTCTGGAAGAAGACCCTTCCGAACAGATTTGTTTACAAAGAAATTTGATGCGGGAGTTTTGACATACTGATCAGGTGTTAAGCTGCAAAAGAAAATATTGTACAACACTAATAATCATCTGTAAAAGAGAATTTAAAAGCCCAATACACAACCAAAAGCACCTGAATATATTTGCTACTTCAAATCTGACTGGAATATAGTAAGGAGTAATAAATAATATTATATTTACTGGGAGGCACGCGGTAGTGTAGTTGGTTGAGGCACTACGTTACAAGCCAGAAGGTTGCGGGGATCGAATCCCAGTGAGGTGGATATTTTCAATTTATTTTCCTTCCAGCCACACTATGACCCTGGGGTCAACTCAGACTCTAACAGAAATGGGTACCAGGAATCTTCCTGGGGGTAAAGGGTGGCTGGCGTGTAAGGCTGACAACCTCACCGCCATCTGTGAGCCGACTGCCTAGAAAATGTGGGAGCCTCAATATCTCACAGCCCTATGGGCCCCCATGGCCTGTTACAGGGAAACCTTTACTGTACTTTTTACTTCATTATATTTACTGATCTGGTCGTCTTGGGACAAGGGACTCCCAGGTTTCTGAATCCAGTCCCTAGCCATAACTGTGTGCAGACTTTTCTGCTCAGACTAAAAACCTTCTTCACCACAGATAAAACTCTGGGAATGTGAACAACGGTTTCCCCATGGTTTGAAACCCCAATTTTGCTTTAGGCAGTGCCAAATGCTTTGTAGTGTGCAGCCATCTTAGATTTGGAACCCTCTTCAATTCAGGTAAACACAGTAGTTACTATTTATTAACATTTTTATTTAATTAAGTATCATCAAAATAACTAAATATAATGTATACAATCTACACCCTACTCCATATTGGGGGGTCCATACACCGCACTAATTTAAGATATCCAATATAGATAAAAATTGTATATCACAAATAACAATTTAGTCAAGCACTGCATGCAGAGTTAATAACAATCTGTCCAACCAAAATTAAATTCTTTCAAACAGCTTTGCTATGAACAGAATCTGAATCAATTATTTCAAATTTTCTACAGTTCTGTAACTTGTAGAGAGTGAAGCACAATACATCACTGCGATCGCAGTGCAAGGGCCGAGAAGGCCCACCCGTGATACATTCGTTCGTTCAACTTGTAGAGACATTTCTTAGTGTATGGATAGGTTCTCCCATCTCAAATTTGTGGCTATTTCTTTTCAGGACACATAGCACCTGCTCAGCAGAAACAAGAATTAAGTCTCCAGAAATACAGACACTTACCCTAATCTGCCTTGAGCCCCTGGTTGCAGGAGTGTGGTGTAACACAGGTTGTGTGCCATCATAATGCTCGGATATAGGGAACTGAAGTCGAGTGTTGCGATAGGATCTGCATAATAGCCTTTCTTAGGTTCAATAACAGTAGCACCTTCATACTGCTCCTCCTGGACTCCGCTGCCATATGCCGGCATCAGGTAGCCTTCTTCCTGCGCCTGAAATTGATTGTATCAATGGGTGCTCTCCTGCAAAAATGTGGTAACCTCATTCTGGCCTGAAAAGTACTACAGTACTTGGCAGGCTCTGAGGAAACATCAGTACAAAACCCCATGACATTGAAGATAAAATGGTATACCATGTCTAAAACATCTTCAAGAGCACATCACAATCAGACAGAAACATACTGCATTATGTTTACTTGCTTACTCATGGAGCTGAGCCCTTCTGGAGGAGGAGCAGCCAATTCTGCAGCTACTCAAGAATTTCCCAGGATTTTATGGAACCCGAAGCTTCATTACCATGTTCACAAGAGCCCTCCACCAGTCCCTATCCTGGGCCAGATCAATCCAATCAATAACATCCCATCCTATCTAAGATCCATTTTAATCTGGTCCACCCACCTACATCCTGGTCTTCCCAGTGGTCTCTTTCCTTCTGGCTTTCCTATCAATATCCTATATGCATTTCTCTTCTCCCCATTCTTGCTACATGCCCTGCCCACCTCATCCTCCTTGACTTAATCATTCTAATTATCATCAGAAAATTACTAGATTCTATTTATAAAAATCAGTGGAAACCAGAATCACTATCGTGGAGATATGCTTGAAGACAGGGCTTTTCTTCCTTTAGGTCACCTACTCAAGATATTCTAAACGAAGTACATGGGAATGTCAGCTTGGGTTCGCAATGCAGTTCCTTTGAGCGAAGGCTGTAATAGTCTCACGTGTCCAGGGTTCCATGACAAGAAATTAGTGGGTTGCACATTATATGGAGGTGTTGTACTGAATAACTCATTTACAATTACAACTACAACGACTCTGACATCTCTTCTAAGGTCTTGTCTTACATTTCAGAGGAGAGCAACACCTCCATTTTCAGAGTAGAAGAGTGAGCCAAGCAACAAACCATGAGAAGCAGGCAGCAAGCAGGGCTCAGCTACTTCTGTTGGTTTCATGCTTGGCTTTTTCTTTGACCCTGAAGATGGAGGTGATATGTTTTTCTGAAATGTCAGGCTCTCTCCAAATTACATGGAACCATAATCTACACAATCGTCACTGTGGAAGTTTCAGATCCAACATAAAGAAACGTATCAGATGAATAACCATTTGCTTGGTCAAAACTAAGGGATGATATACAGAACAGTGGAAGAAAGGGTGAAAGGTAAAGCTATCCCTGTAACAGGCCATGGAGGCCCGTAGGGCTGTGAGATGTTGAGGCTCTAGGCAGTCGGTTCATAGATGACGGTAAGGTTGTCAGCCTTATGTGCCAGCCGCCCTTTACCCCCAGGAATATTCCTGGTACTCATTTCTGTTAAAGGCTGAGTCAAAACTAGGGCCATAGTGTGGCTGGCAGGATTAAGTAACTGAAAGAATCCACCTCATCGGGATTCGATTCTGCAATATTCCAGCTAGTAGCATAGTGCCTCAACCAATTATGCTACTACCTGCCCCCAGAAGAAAGACTGGAAACAGAAGAGGAATGCTTACACAAGAACGCAGAAGGACAATGGAAACCTAGGGTAATGGAAGCACTAATGATGATTGTACTACTGAAAGTAATGATATTAATGTTAACATCATGTATTTACCTTCCTCAGTAGTTGTGACACGACCTTGATCTGTTGCCCTCTAGTAAGCAAACTGGATAATGACACACCAGTGACACGTGCCATTTCCATATAGTTGATGATACACATCAGCTTGAAAAGTAGTCTCAACGGAAGGTAAGCATCTTTTAAACAATACACAGCCAGCCTGCAAAGGTCCACAATGTCTGATAATAAGTATTAATTCTTACTTTACATAATGACACCTAAACTGTGACAGTTACACAGTAAAGGAGAGGAGGATAATAGCACATCACAAAATAAAGAACTGACAGGAGAGATTGATAAAAACAGCAAAAAGCCTTAGTCAGGTTGACCACTCTTCGGGCTGAGAAACTCATGAGCATGACTAGTATAAAGCAGGAATGCCAATCATTAAGGTTTAAATTTTAAGGTGGTGTTCTGCAAAATATTCTTTTCAAAAACTGAGAAAAAGACAGGAGGATAAGATAAGTTGCTAGAGTTGAAGATCAAAGGAACCAGCTTATGTCCAATATTAAGTTTTAATATTAGCAGTCTTGAACTTTCTGGTTTAGTCACCTAATGCTAGACAGTATCAAGCAGCAAAAGCAGTGTTACACTATTAAAATATGCCCAATATCTATTGGACTATATAATGGGGTTTAAACCTTAAAATGTCAACTGCCTTGGGTGCTGACAAAATATGACTATAATACTTACAAACTTGTAGTGTTGTATCTTGCCTGTGGTGCTCACAAACAAAAATGGACAGGTTTATGCCTCACAAATGTTTTTATTGATGAACTCACAACACATTTCACCCAGACAGGCCATCATTAGCTGATTCTTGAGACGTATACAAATAAACACAAAAGCTCCTGCACTCAATCGAAAAAAAAAATTGAAGGTCTGACCACCATCAGGCCAACTTAAAAAACAACTCATTTTAAAGTGATCTTCTCCTTGCATTGTTTCTGTTTAATTTCTTAAAAATTTTAATATGTCTAATTTTAATTATGAAATTTAATATATATATATATATATGGTACTAAGTTGGATCGGACATAATTTTAACAAACAAAAAAATTTATATTAGCATTGCATTTCATTTAATTTCATCAAAATCTGTATATTCCTCAAGCATCACCTGATGATGGCCTATCTGGGCTGAAACATGTTATGAGTAAATTAATAAAAACATTTGTGTCATATGAACACCTCGATTTTTATAATTAGATCCAGGGGAAAAATTACAAAACCACTGCATCAGTTTCAAATTTTCAAATGACATAAAAATTAAGATAATTTCCGTTAAAACATAATGAGGCTGCACGTGAATACCACGTACCTGCGTCTAGTCTGTGGGTTGCCGTTCTGTAGGTCCGTAATGATGTTATGTTGTACATCCTCCTTCTGTTCACCCAAGAAATGGAAACTAACAGCGTTCAGAGTGTACGAACGCAGTTTATAATCTCGAACCAATACCTTGTAACACAAATTATTATTTAAATAAACTTCTGAATACAAAAGACCAAGCAGGCTGGCTCAAGCAGTAATGCATCTCACTTTCATTCAGGGTGTGCCCAGGTCAAATTTCAGCCAGGATGCCAACTATCCTAGTTGAGGGGTTATCTGGTTTTCATCAGTCCAACCAGAGAAATGCCACACTGTACCTTCACCTGCACCATGGATGCTTCCTTCCAAATACTTTCCCGTTTATTAATCAGTACCATCCAATCAATTGAAACTATAGTCAGGTTTGCCAACAATGTCACTAGCTATAAATAAAATAACAAATCAACACAAAGCACATCTAATTCTATATCTTTCTGTCCTGGCCTTATACACAAACATTTCAATAGTCCCAATCATCCAACCTAAATGGGACCAAATGGTGGTTGGATCAACAAAAATGTCTTGATAATATGAAAATGGGTGGAGGAGGAGCGAAACAAATAAAAAAATTAATGGAAGTCCTGTAAAAGTATGAAATCAGGTTTATTAATAATTATTCCATAGTACAACTAACATAATGGAATCCAGTATGCCCTAGAAGTATGTGACTCGCTGACAGACAAAGCAGAAGTGGGAGCGGGCAAAACACTATACATGTGCAAGCACCACAACACTGTAAACAACAGGTTGAATGGCTATTTTCTTTTAATTTGCATAGTGGGAGGGTGGAGTCCAATTGGGTCCGCTCAGCATGGCAGCCACTGATTGGTCTATTGTAGCCTACCCAGGATGATTATGATGATGGAGAATTTGGTGGAATGAAGATTGGCAGGGGAAACCGAACTACTTGGAGAAAACCCACCCCAGCACAAGTTTGTCCACCACAAATCCCACTTGACCAGAACTGGGATCGAACCTGGGCCGCTGCGGTGGGAAGCCAGCGACTAACCGCTTCAGCTATGGTGTGGCCATGTTGGATAACCATTTGTCAGATAATCGAGACTGGACGGACTTGATAATTTGTAAAACTATTGCTAGTATGACATACAAGGATGAGCCAATTTAAATGCAAAGAACTGTACAGAATCCAGAATGGTAGTAGGCCTCACCAGCAAGAGATCAAATGGTACTCTTCCCTCGCAATTCATGCTCTTGTTTTCTCTGCGCCCCATCTGCTTACTCTGCAACACACTGTCCTTAATGACTGACCTGTAATGAGACACATACTCTAGCAGTCAAAACAGGTGTTAGTACAGCAAATTAGCTATGGGCTGGATGACTAAAGCATCAGGCTCCGAGACGTTCCTTTTCCACGGCATCCCAACCAGTTCCTGACCCCACTCAGCCTCCTTCCCAAATGCATAACAGAACTATTTCCCGGGAGTAAAGCAGACAGGGCATGAAGTTGCGCATTCACCTCCATCTACTGCTGAGGTTAAGTTTGCAATGTGATATACTTACATTGAAAAATTTGGGTGCATGTCACATACAACTAATGAGACATAGGGTGTGGACCCATTGTATGCAAGAATGNCTAAGTGAAGGTGTCCCTGTAACAGGCTGTGAAGGCCCATAGGGTTGTGAGATGTTGAGGTTCCCACATTTTCTAGACAATCAGCTCATAGATGGTGGTAAGGTTGTCAGCCTTATGTGCCGGCTGCCCTTTACGCCCAAGAATATTCAAAGAATATTCCTGGTACTCATTTCTGTTAGAGGCTGAGTCGACCCTAGGGCCATACTGAGGCTGGAAGGATTAGGTCAATTGAAAAAATCCAATGACCTCATTGGGACTTGAACCCGTGACCTTCTGGCTTGTAGCATAGTGCCACAACCGACTACGCTATCATATGCCCCTTTTTGTAAGTTGCATTATTTCAAATTCTGCTCATAAAGGGAGGCTTTATTATTTTTATACCACACTATTTCAGATTTGCATAGACTGTGACTGCACTGTATCAGAATATTTAACTAGATTGCAACTGACATATTTCTAGAAAATAATAAGCCTTCTTCCCCGCCCCCAGAAAATCATGAAAATTTGGAACATCAGTACAAAGCTTAGGCTTTGTGTCTGTTTAACCTTTAATGAATCGGTGCCTTTGTATGGCCCAGCTGGTCAAGTGCTGCATTTTTTCAATACTTACACTGTCACCACTGATTTAAAACAAGGCCGCCAATCTTGTACAAATGGGAGATTCAAAATCCAGTATTCCTGGAGAGTAAAAGTAAAATTTGATTGCTCATATTTCTCTAATTAAACTGTATGCAAATCACAAAGGCAGTAAAAACAAAACAGCGACTTTTCTCCATAATGAGAAACAGAATTATTTTTTGATGATGATAATCATTAACATATTACCAACCTGATATTTATAACACGACCCAAATAGGTGAAGTCATTGACCTTAAGGTGCTTTGCACGATTGATGAGATATGGAAAATCAAAGTTGTTGATATTGTACCCCGTGATTATATCCGGATCCACTTCTCGCACAAAAGCTGCCCATTTCTGTGCAAACAATTGCATGTGAGTGAGACGCGAGGTTATCACAGAAGAGCAAGTATCAAGATTAGAGAAATCTGAGATGTGACAATGTGTAGTCTGGTAGACAAGTACCAACATTTCAGAGGAGAATGAGATTTCCAACTACAGGATAAAATTGCCTCTACATTGATAGCTCACTACCAGATTATGCAGCCTCACATTCCAGAAGCACAAGAATAATGGAAAGCAGTTTTACTTTTCTCATATCATAGTCTTCTACCTTTTGCATTAATCTGCAGCTAGTATACCTTCAGTGATGCTGGAACTGAAACGGATGGTAGCAGATGTACGAAATGCTTAGCAATTTAATAGCCCTTGTAGGGTATGTATAAATGTTCAAACTAACCTTGAGTAATTCCCGTTCATCTGGAAAGCTCAGTACCTGACAACCTACTATTGGAGCACAGGTGTTTAGTGTGAACACGTTGCGGATAAATGGTTCATGCTGTCCTTGCCGAACCACCATATTCGCAATCTGAATTACTGGATCATGCTCAGGTTCAGGAAAGATACCTGCAGAACAAAACAGAAGGTGGATATCTCACAGGCTGTGACCAACAATGATACTATGGCATCATGCTGAAAGCCAGAAGAGTCTAACAAGACAAGTTGTCCATTGGTACGCAAGAGCTGGTAAACATGTTTCCATGGCAAATGAAACACGCTTCTATGTGAACAACACCAAGGCCATCACTAGGCAACATCACACTTAACACGTCACTCAGCAATCAGGGAATTCTTGGAAGCAGCGTTTTCTACATGTCTGTGCCAAGGATAAATGAGGCATCAAGGACATAAGCATAGAACGAGAGGTATTCCACCATTAAAAGTTCTTACTAACCAATGTCCAGCCAAGAGCATAGCAGACTGAGATTTAGCGTGTGCTACGGTGATTTCTAAAGTCTGTAGATCAGTGACAGTGTTATAATTACTTGTAGTTACAAGTTATAAGTGTTCAATAAATCCAATTATCAATCCAAACCTTGTATCTACTCACAAACACGCGACAACACACTGGGACACCTCCCCACCCTGAAAACATCTACTCCAAATGCAACCCTGCACCCTGAATAAACAGCATCAATTTGCTGACTGACACCATATGAAATTCATTAGAGTTCATAAGATGACCTCTGAAATTATGGAACCTAAGCCCTGCAAGAAACTCACTACTGAACAAGTATGGAGAGTAGAGTGTGCTGGTTACATGAAAAGAACTTTTACAAAAAGTCAATACAGTTCGGTACAGAAAATAAGCCTATACAGTATTAAACATACAGTGGCAGAGAGAATGAAAATGAAATGTACTGACAACTGATGAGGTAATATAATGTGACCACAAAAAAATCAGCCAGTCTCTACTGTAATGGCAACTACATAAGGATGGATGAGAAGCAATGCTGCTAGTTGTAGCTAGGAGAATTATCACACGCTTTGTGGTTTGTTTTTTTTTGTTTCTTTATAAAAACAGAACATTTTATTTGAAATATTTTCAGGTAGCTTGAGAATAATCTGGCCACTTGGACTTCGGGTACTGGGGAGTTTACCATACATTCTAATACTGCTTTGTTAATAGTTCTGACACCTGCTACCAGGGGGATAATCAACTACAATCTGCACAGGTATGCTTTTATGCGATAGACTTTAAACCTGCTACAAGTGGGATCATCTATTAACCCTTTGACGTGGTCATTTAAATTCCGCGGCCGCGGCTCCTGCGGTAATATATTCAGCCGGCCATTTAAATTTTGCTCGAAAATTATTTATTCATCATTGTTCTTAAATTCTATGAGATAGGAACATGAAACTTTCACTAAAATGATCTTAAATGGTGGTTTTATAACCTTACCTTATAATATGAGCGCCCTGTATCTCGGTAATGGAGGCAGTTGGTTTAGTAGAAGGAAGGCCTTGAAGCATTCGTATAACCCAACGGTGCCCCACGTTCACCATTCTCCGCTCCAATATTGTGTATTTTTTTTGGCCCTTTTTTTTAACCACACATATGTGCGGCCTTGCCTTCTTACCCGTGAGGGGTATACTTCAAGGAAATGTCTTTCCGTGACCCGTTTAGTTGCCAGGTCAGCTGTAGTAAATTCAACGTTACGAGTTATCATAACAAGGGGTTGTTGCTATGCCTTTGATATTCCATCCATTTTGGCGGCAGGAGATGTCGTAGGGGTGACCACAGAATTCATGAAGTTATTCTAAGAACTGTCTGGTATGTAGTGAACGAAAGTAGAGCTTAGCTGGCTCAAAAAAATATTTATGGTCATCCCTCGAAACGACCACCAAGGTCAGTACGATAAAATGGAGTCAACTGGAGCGATAATGAGCGAAGGAATGAGTTCTTTTCCCTCCCCCACACACATCCGTATCGTCTCAGGGGGTGACCACAGTGTTCTGCCTTAAAATGTGGCGTTTTTCTAAGAAATGGGTGCTATGTACTGTGCGAAAGCAATCGATTTTGCAGGCATAAACTTTTGTACATCCCTCTTCTAAGAATTCCAATTGAATAGCCAGCTCAGGGCAATATGATACTATAAACACCAGCACATATCAGTCTCTGGTGTTTATAGCTTCAGAGCAAACAAAACACATCATTAATAACAGTAACAGCTCGCAATAGCCACAGGAACGTTGCTGCAAGACAGGCATATGTAACGACGACTTAGCGCTCTTAAACGCGTGTGTCATTAAATACAGTCCTCCTGACAACAGGCCAGTGAAAAATCTAACAATCTACAGCAAAACCATCAATTATTATGGGCGTTATAACATACGTGTGCAGCTGGACGAAACATACACGTCGAACCCCCCCAGACGATTTAAATCCCTGACGAAACATACACGACGAACCACGGCAACGGGTTAACCCTAATTTACATGTGTCCTTTTAAGTGACAGTGTTGTTTATACTATGTCTTATGAAAATCCGTCAGATTCAAAACTTATTAGCAGATGATAGCATACAGACATATGATGAGCTAACCTAGCTTTATAATTTTGTCATGCCTATGAGTGTGACTACAGACTGGTAATTGAATTTAATGAACACTTACAGACTGTACCTACAAGTAGCTATAATGTTATCTCTAAGTCACACAATCTGAAGTTTACTATAGCATGTACCAACTCCTCTCAGTCTGCTGCCTGTTCTGTCTGATAACTACTACCAATGTCACAGACCACTTGACTTCCATGTTCACAGCTTCGTGTCCTCCCTCACTGCAGCTCCCGAGCTGAACTAACTCGCTCCGACTGCCAAACTCAAATTAACTCAATTCCACTCCACTAACTCAACTCAACTCAGTCGGTCGAGTGATATAACCTCGGAGCACACTCAACAGAAAACACCATTCCTTTGTTGATGTCGGTGAGGGGTTATCACATGTTCCATTGCAGCGGCACTGGGCTGCGTGGCAACACCGCTTCCCACAACTCTTTTCCTCTGCTGCATGTGCAACCACTGTTATGCTGATAAGCTGTTTACTGTGCCGTAACCGGCTCTTTACATGCTACATTATAAATACAGTAGAACAAAAAATCTACAGCTCATGCTGATTCCTCACTTGTGGATTTTTTGTTATACGCGGTAGTGTAGTTGCTTAAGGGGCTATGCTACAAGCCAGAAGGTCACGGTTTCAAGTCCCGATGAGGTCATTGGATTTTTTTCAGTTGACCTAATCCTTCGAGCCACACTAGGCCCTGGGGTTTACTCAGCCTCTAACAGAAATGAGTACCAGGAATTAATTAATTTTCCTGGGGAGTAAAGCGCAGCCAGAGCATAAGGCTGAAAACCTTACCACCATCTTTGAGCCGACTGTCTAGAGAGTGTGGGACCTTCAACGTCTCACAAACCTATGGGCCTTCACGGCCTGGTACAGGGATAACTTTACTTTACTCTGAAAATGGAGGCGATACGTTCCTCCAAAACGTCAGTTTACACAATATCTACACAGAGCCACAACCCAGAAGACGGCATTCTTAAAAATAATCTTATTTCATCCAAAAGAAACAAAGGTAAAATTAATGAAAGAAGAAATTACACAAACAAATATTGTGTTAAAAATTTCTTGCCTTCAACTAGATACTGATTTCTCACCTTTCCGGCCTGCGCATTCGATGTCGAAACTAAGAATGCGGAATGGAGCTACTTTTGCCCACTCTCCTTCCGGTGTGTGGGACACTACTTGCTCCCATGAAACATCTGCTTCTATTTGACATCGTGACACATGATTTGCAAGAGGTCTCATTGTCCACTGGCCTGCAGGCAGCTCCACCCAGCTGCAACCCACCAGTCCTGTGTCCACCATGAACCTTCAACAAAAGTATAATTATCATCATTTTTAGGAACAACACACATAACTATAGTGAAATCAAATTTTAACATATCTCTGGGAAAATGGTATTTCTTACAATACACTGAGGTGCTCATTTAACTGGAAGTAAGCAAAATTACATAAAAATAGTGTTCATTTTCTTATAATATTTACTGTAAACAATTAAGATAATTTAATTATGTAAGTAATTAGAAACAGTGTTCATACAAAAATAAATCAGTAAAATTACATTATCAATAATAACATTTTAATTTCTAAAATAACTGACATGAAATAAACAGTGAAAGAACCCAGCTGAAAACCAAAACAACTACTATGTCACATGCCGTGAAGTTTCAACGTTCATTCCTTATATGAGATCACCTGCCAGAGAACATGGTTGTGCAGTAAAGACTTCTGCAAGAAGGAAATTTAAATGTCAGTTATTTTTTCAACGACAATATTTACTTACATTACATCATGTACCAGTTGTTTGAATAATGTGACTTCCCCCCCCCAGAATCCTGATAGATTGATCTGATCTTCATTAACCAATAATTACAAAAAATAATTTTTTGTATTATTTAGCACAGACACCTAATCTCAAACTTCATCAAAATTCATTACTGATTTAACAAGGAGGGACAGATGAGCACATCTTCGCTCTACATGTTCCGTCAAACACTCTATAAATAGGAACACATAAAAATTATATTTTGAAAACACCCCAGAAGTTCAGAACAATACAGAAGAGGGCTGCTTACCGAATATCAAAGTCTATGTTTGATTCAAATGCCTGGAAACTATGTGAGCCTGCCGGTGGATAAATGGAATCTTTCTCCAGCAACCGTTTGGCAGGAGCAATTAACTGAGGCAAAGCTATAGTGATCTTAATGAAGCTCATTTTATCTTCTCCATTATATCCCATGAGGTTCAGACGCTGCACCAACTCAACTGCTAGAACTGCCTCTCGTACCCCATACTTGTTTGAGCGCATATCGGCTAGTACAGCTTTATTGAGAGCGGCCTGAAACAAACATACAAACAGAAGCCCAGTGTAATTTCTACACTGCTTTCATTAACCTGGAATAAAAATTTCCCTATTTTTTAAAGTAAAACTATCCCGTAACAAGCTGGGGAGACACATAGGGTTGTGAGATGTCGAGGTTCCCACATTTTCTAAAGTCAGCTCACAGATGGCGGTAAGGTTGTCAGCCTTATGTGCTGCCTGCCCTTCACCCCCAGGAAGATTCCTGGAACACATTTCTGTTATAGGCTGAGTCAACCCCAGGGCCACTGTGCGGCTGGAAGGATTAGGTCAATTGAAAAACCCAATGACCTCTCCAGGTATCAAACCCACAACCTTCCAGCTTATAGCAGAGAGCCTCAACCAACTACACTACCATGTGCTTCATCATTCTTCCAATAAACTTAGAAAAATTAACTTCTGCATTCACAAGTTGAAAAGAAATGCATGTAAGTTTCAACTAAATTTTCCTCCTCATCTTGTTTTAAATATACATGGGGCAATCCAAAAGTTTCCAAAAATTTGAATTTTGCGCGCGAATGGTTATGAGTACATCTAAATACCACTAGGTGTCTCCTCACACATCCTTCTTGAATCAGTGTGGCAAGCAGTGTCGAGTTGAGTGGTTGGGTTTATTGTTGGTGAACGTATTTCCATTGTTGTGTTTCCATGAGTTTGCGGTTTTGCAATGGCTGACCTGAGAGAGCAGTGTGTCTGTATAAAGTTTTGTTTCAAACCTGGGAAAACCGCTGCAGAAATGCACCAAATGTTGAAGCAAGCTTTTGGTGAAAACAGTTTAAGCCAGACACAAACTTACAACTGGTATAAGCGTTTTAAAAATGGTCGAGCATTGACTGATAATGACGATCGTTCGGGACGGCCATCAAAGGGCAAAACACCAGAAAATGTCACGAAAGTTAGGGATCTGATTCTGCAAGATCGTAGACTGACCATCCAAGACCTCTGTAACACCTTGGGATTAAGTTATGGTAGATGTCAACGAATTTTGTCAGAGGAACTGAACATGAGGAGGACTGCGGCAAAATTTGTGCCACGACTGCTGCAAAATGAACAGAAGCAGCATCGCTTGGAAGTCTGCAGGGAACTTCAGCAACAGCTTCAAGAGGATCCAAACTTTCTTTCGAAGGTTGTCAGAAAGCAAGCAGCAATCATCGCAATGGAAGAGCCCTTCTTCACCTCGGTCAAAAAAAGCTCGACAAGTCAAGAGCAACATTAAGTCCATGTTGATCTATTTTTTTTTATATTGATGGGATTGTTCATAAGGAGTTCATCCCTCCTGGTCAAACAGTCAATAAAGAGTTCTATCGCAATGTTCTAAGGTGTTTGAGGGAGAACATGAGGAGAAAACGTCCAGAGAAGTGGCGCACGAACAACTGGGTACTCCGCCATGACAACACATGGCCGCATATGGCTTACATTGTGCAGGAATTTTTGGCTAAATACAAAATGGCAGTTGTTCCCCAGCCACCGTACTCGCCAGACTTAGCTCCATGCGACTTCTTTCTCTTCCCCAAGATGAAAATCAAGTTGAAGGGGCGAAGATTTGATACAGCTGAGGAAATTCAAGCGGAAACGCAGACGGTGCTAAACACCCTAACAAAGAAAGACTTCCAGGATGCATTTGAAAAGTGGCAGAAACACTGGGATCGGTGTATGCGCTCCCAAGTGGACTACTTTGAAGGTGATGGTGCAGAATAAGATCTAGGTAAGATGTAATAGTTTTTATTAATATATTTTGGGAACTTTTGGATTGCACCACGAATTGTTATAGAACTCTCAAAACTGAAGTATTCTTACCTTAAAAGCATGACAGTCCTTATCACCAAAATTCCTTGGTGCTGATACAAAAAAATATGGTGAAAATCCATGGACATGACAACAAACAGAGTTGCCTTCCATTGTCACTCCATACATCCTCATAACAGGCACAGGGCCCTGCTGGCTACCAGGCATGCCAGATACTGGACACCCTACATCATCATCAAAACAATTACTTAGCTAGTAGATAAACATTCAACTACAAGAACTAACTCCATAACACAGGGTGTTCCTTGAAAACTTAGTAGTTATCCAGCTTGCCAAAAGAAGTCTGGTTTTACAGAACCTGAAGGTTCATCATCATATCCTCACATATAATCTTACTTTGATCACTGGCTTCACGTTTATTTACTGCAGACACAAATCTGCAGTTACAAAGCCAATCACACCAGAAATGTCAATGTGTAGCCGGAAATTGTTATGGTATGTTCATATTCATTGGTGATGCCCATCACTTTATTCTTAAACCAACTGCCAACATACATGCTCAACATTTTTCTGTACACCTGTGTGGTGCATTACCAGAGAGCTCAACAAATGATTCATAGCTTAATAATATGCTTATTCGTACACTTGCATTCTCTTGCCAGAATCTGTCTCTGAAAAAAGCTGATCACCTCTTCAGTTTTTGGCATCGACTGACAGTTGCAGGACTTGTTTCAATAGGCAAAATAGACAAGACAACAGATTGTAACAACAAAGTATGCACAGTTCATGTCAAGCCATACTGAATGACTCCGTGGTTTCAGTCCACAAGCGAACTATACTGACCGAGTGACCGCCACTTGTCGGCGAAATTAGTGCCAACTTTGGCGGCTAGAGGGTCTTGAGTGGTCAGCGCAACAAATCCCCACAGCCGTTAATTTCGGTTTTCTAGACTGGAGATGCTATTTCCTTGAAATAGCTCCTCAGTTATCCTCTGGAGGCTGAGTGGACCCTGTTCCAGACACACTACTTCTCAGAAAATTTGGTAGCGCCGGGAATCGAACCCGAACCTCTGGATCTGTAGCCAGGAACTGTGACCACTAGATCACAGAGGCAGCCAGCCATATTGAACTGCAAACTGAAAATGAGGATGTAATTAAGAATATTTTGCAGATTTCAGTACTAATCAGTCTTATAAACTCTGAACAGAATATATATTTATTGCAAAATAATGAGAATTATAATTCCCCTGCACCAGCTGTGTACAAGCTCAATATGCACTCCATACCTGTGTAATGGTCTATATCTAACTGCTGAAAGGTCAGCACATGGTGTGCCGGATTCAATGGAGTGGGTGCGGGTCGACTCCATCTCACGCTCATCTGCTGTGTCTCAGGGCCCTGATAATACAAAATAGATACTGCATCATCAGCAGTACCAATACAGAACCCTATACAGACCCAATCTTAAACAGTCCTCTCAAAACTCCAATGACCATTTTCTGTAAGCAGTAAACAAGATTTGAAATCTGAACAGCAGTAATGATTCATACTGTGGTCATCTGAACAAGCATAAGTACTTCTCACTGCCATTTATTGGTGCCATCTTTTGGTCCTGTTCTTAACTACTACCAATGATCAATATTCCTGTGTGACACACACACAGTCAATCATAAACCTTATCCTATATAACATAAATCATCCTAGCTCTTGCCTGAAAGGACAATGGAAACTCTCAAAATATTTAGTCAGGACAGCCAAAAATTTGAACCCAAGACCTCCAAAATACAAAACACAAGCTATAACTACTCAAAAGCAACATTCAGTTTTAGGCCATGTTGGAAGAATCAGAGCAGAGACTCTAGTCTTTGCAGTATGTGAGGTTATGTCTAACATTAAAATCAAAATTTGTCGGACGGTTAAGCAGTATGATACAAAATGAAAATGTTACAAAACGTTGTAATTTAAAAAAATTATTTCAAACTTCGAGGCCTACAAGATGTGACACTGAAACATTATCTACTGCATGATAATTTATTCCAACACTATGCAATGTTAACACCCAAATTCTTATTAAATTACAAAAAAATTAGTTTGCTGCTAAAATTACAACCACCATAGTATTTAAAAAGGCTAAAAAGAAGAGTACATTACTAAATTCACTTTAAAGAAATACCTTTGAAACTTCCCACATTGATAGCTTACTGGGTGACTGATATTGTTTTCTACGCCTATCTACCACTATCAGCAACTGATCAACAGGGCTTATCACCAGAGTTAAACACACAAGTCTTGAAATTGTGTAATACACTAAGTACAATTTTGGTGTACATTGTTAACTAAGGTTATGCAACTGAAGAAGAGCCACTTGGATACTGAAGATTAATTCCTATGAAGGTGCATAAACCTGAAACAGGATTAACCTTGCAACAAAGTAAGTGAAACTATAAAAAAAAACACATTATAAACAAACAGGGATTTAAATGCAGAAGATGGAAATAAATTAACCTATTTCATAAATATGTAACTCTCTAACATCTACCAATAACACAAATCTTCAAAATGTTTTAATTGGAAAGAAAAACTACAGAAACTGTTATACAGGGGTATATAATTTACACAGACTTAACTCAAATTGAAAATATGTCAACAGTTTGACATATAACAGAGTAAGGCTGATTTCTGAACATTATTTCTTTATTAAATTACACAGGATCGCATCCCAGTATAGCATTTTATTTCTGATTTCAAATGTTCACTGCATTAAGACTCAATGCCAATTATATATAACAATATTTTAAAAGCAAGAAAAGATTAATATATATATATATATTTTTTTTGCAAACTTAATACTGAAATAGTGAAAAATTAAATTCAAGACAATACTAAAGTTTAAAATGTGATATTAAAAATTTGAAGATATGCTTAAAAAAATATTTTCTTCCTCTTATATTCAGGTGGGTGACAGCCACAAGCTTAGAAGCTCATTTAAAACATATCCCTGACGTAATATTACTCAAGTGACTTTAAATTCTGGTCTTACAATATGTATAAAATTCATCACCACCAGTGATGGAAAAATTATAAACTATTTCTTACATATATATTCCATGGTTTGTTGTCAGAATAATGAAATTCTCCTTAAAACATCTTTATTTACAACAGTTAAGTTGATAGAGATGCCTAAAGCTATTTAAAACTCAGGGTTTTCCATTTCTGGTTATCACTGCCATTTCTTATAACAAATGTTCACCTGCCCATTCATTTCTTGGGAGTCTGTGCCCTGTGATCCTTCATTTTCAATCAGGTCCATGCAGGCCAACTCCTCTTCAAATGAACCAGGGATGCCATTATCATTATCATCACCATCATCATCATCATCATCATCATCAAATGAACTTCTGAAAGACAGAACACTGCCAATTACACAGAACTTCAAAACAATTCAAATTAAGGCATGCTGGCACTTGTTACATGTCCTTTGTTATTAATGTTTGTGCATGTCTAAGGATTCTTTTCAGCATCACGAGGAGCACCACATCCCATCCATGGCCAAGGCAGAAGCTGACGTGAATGTTCAGTGGGCTGCGTGTGCAATTTCTCTGACCCACTGCATCCAGCATCATTGATAAATATTTTTTTCTCCTTTATAATCTTTCGTCCTTGACATCTTTAGGTAGGGGCAACCATCTTCAGAAGCACATATCAATACATGCGGAAACAACTATCACGATTTAATTGGTTATCATCAGTACAAACATACAATACCATTACATTGTCATGAATATAAAATCTTGGCCTTTAACAACTACAGCGATGTGCCTGAATTTATTTCAACATTTATAAATTATTATAATTAATTTATTTATTTATTTCGTCTCTATAGATCATTGTTACATGATATAGGACAAGTCAGTTACTGTACATTGGCCGATTACAATAAGAGAATGAAATTACAATACTTACAATTGTTTACAATAGATTACAGTAGATTATAATAGTTAAGAGTTTGTATAGTGTGAGGTGGAATCCATATTAGGTCCCCTCGGCATGTCGGCTTCCATATGTCCTATTGTACCTGTACTGCTGATAATGCTTATGGAGAATTTGATGGAATTTATTTTATTTTATTTATTATTTACAAGTGTGATTTAAAAAAAAAAAACTTTGTTTAAATCTAGAACCAATTTGGTTCATGTCCTTTGCCTCTCTTTAAAGGAAGACGAGTGAGGCTAAGATTTTATATTCACATTGTAATGGTATTGTATGTATGTGTTGATAATGACCAATCACATTGTAACCGTAGTTTCTCGATGTACTGATATGTCCTTCCGAAGACTGCCACTCTGATCAAAACATGTCAAGGATGAAAGATTGTAAAGGAGAAAAAACATTTATCAATCACACTGGACGGAGTTGATAATCTTTTATACTATTGCCAGCGTGACGGGCGAGGATGAACCAAATCAAATTCTCTGACTCACCACCCCATTCTGACTCCATCATCTCATTTCCTACTCCTTCATCACACTCGGTGTTCATTAAATTTATTTCCTGATTTCTGCATTTTCAAGATATGCAGCAATTTTCACAAATTCAACCCCACTTTTAACAAGTAGCCTGTACTACTAATCTAAATCTGGCATCAATGTATCCCTTCCAGATCCCAAGTGAACATTCATACAGGTAAGAACAGAGAGTGGGGAAAATGCAGAGGAGGATAAGAGATGGAAGAAAGGCAGAGGTGAAAAAAATATGAAGGAAAGGGAGAGCGAAGAGATTGAAAAATTTGATAAAAAGTAGGAAGAGAAGGAAAATGGGTGCACCTCAGAGCCATTGTGGACACTGTGGAGAGGAGAAAATGGTTCTTATATATTAACTGCTAATTACCACCACGTTGATTCTAAAGGGTTCTGATGATGGTGGATTACACACAGAATTACTGGCTTTTTGGACTTTTTCCATCGTCCAGAATTCTAGGTAACAGAGTATACATTTCAGAAACTGGATGTTTCCATCTTCAGATGAGAAAGGAAGACACCTACTCCAGAGATTGATTAGCTCTTTCTAAGGGGCCCAATTGAGTACGTGTCTTTACTTTCTCACCTGAAGACAGAAACAGATCCGGTTTCCAAAACGATGTATCCTCTATTACCTAGAAATCCAGATGATGGAAAAAGTCCAAAAACCCAGTAATTCTGTGTACCACCAACTTGTCCAACATGCTGGACTGCCATCCACAGAAGTTATATTAGTAAGGGCAAACCCAAAAACTTAACTTTTTTAAAATAAAACCAATGTCCTGAAATTCTAAAACCAAAAGCCTAATTGTGGGACTTGTCTGAAGCAAATTCTAAGGTTAAACTTTAGGTCTTGCTTTCACAAACAAACTTCTAAGGTTAAGTATACTTGCCAATAACACAGTTTAAGAAACTAGTACAAGCAGGAAATTATGGGTGAAGACATATGAACAAATATAACACATAATTAGAAACTTAGTTATACTCACGATTATCTGACCCTTGCCGTTCAACTCTTGCTGTTGGGAATAAAACCCCAATACCTTGGCCATGCTATACTAGCTGAGCTTTCCTGGCTCTCAAACTGCAATAATTCTTGTACTATTTAAACATCACGACACTTAATCTGTCAGCTAGCAAGTTTTGTAAATTCTCTTATCCTTACTAGACTTCTGACAAGTTTTGGTGAAGGTGGCATAAACTTTTATTTGCCAAGCTGACCTAGGGAATGTGGAATCATCTTGCGTATCCTTATCTTCATTTTTACCATGAAGTCGCAACTTGCCAGACATGTAATGGTCTGACATTGGCCATAAGAACTGAAAATTATCATGGCAATTTTATGAATCCATCTGAAAAGCAGGATGGCATCCTCCCTCATGGTGTTTCACTTCAAACACTGAGTGCTTCATCAAAATACACGTGAATCACACAACTTATCTTAAACTCTGCAAATGGTAAAATGTTACATTTCATTCTTGGGAATTTCTGTTTCATTTTGCCTCATACGTTAACTTAAATTAACATCCCCAACAATGATGACTGGAAAGGACAAGAAGGTATGTAGCTATGGCATGCAATCCTATTTCAGAGCTTATTTGGTAATTAAAGACACCATGTACCTAGAAACCTACGAATCTCATCGGATGCGTTACTAAAAATATTACTTAATTTATTCTTTGACTGCCTAGTGGGATGTTTTCAACACCGCAAATAAAAAGATTAGGTAGCTCGTACATCGCTAAAACTATGCCACTCAAGTACTGTGCGTCTCATGTAACCTCAAACATACAACCAGTGAAAGCATCATACCTCATTCTCTTAACCCTTGGGCCTCCTAATGACGGCCTACGCTTATCCATGTCCTTCCGCCTTACTGTCAACTGAATCACTCAATCAAACTGATCAAACTTTCAAAACTCACAATATAAATTGATCTGAAGTAACTTAACAAACACCAAACACAAGGAAAACTTTGCTATTACAATTGGCGGTAAAACTTTCTCCAGTCGATTTTATAATCGACACGAAACGGTGTGACCGGTGTGACAATCGAAATGTCATCCTTGATCGATAACCTCAATCGTATAGCACGGATACGGATATAGCATTTTGCATTCGCTGTCGTTCGCAGCATTCCCATCGTGCATAACGTGTTGTCATTTGTCTGCAGTCACAGCTCCTGAAATTGAGGGCTCATGTGCACTAACATCGGCATCAAGAAATGTCATTAATTACTTGTACATTTAATTCTATATTTATGTTAAGCATTTTTACTCATACCACAAGGACTCCTATGTTCTGCAGACCTTTAGGGAGGATAGGCCATTGACTGTACACAGCATATTTCAGTTTAAAAATGTTGAAGTGTACTAAATTCCAACCGAACAAGCGGGGTATGTAATGACCAGAATAAATTGGGGGCCATTGAGGTCCAAGACCTTGTTCTGCATGGTAACCCAGGTAACAAGGGTATGAGTGTTTCCTGTTTCACTGTTTAACCAATTCCATGATAATCCTTATAAAATTCTGGATAGGAATTCTAATGAAATAAATTACCAGACAGGATCATGAACATCATGAAGGTGGGCCTGTCTGTAACTGGAATCCAAATGTCACGTGTGACAGGTTCATCCCTCCCTCGTCCAACTGTATCTACTCAAGAGTGAGGTTATCATTTGCCTCCCCTGTTCCTCCACTCACCTCAACTCTCTTCCACCTCTTAGATGGGAGAGGGGGTTGCAGCTTGTATTTTGTGGCAAACTATGTGGTTTCCTTCGGTCCTTTAGATGCTGCCACAAAGTCTATTTTTTCGATTCCACCTAGTCTTCATGGAGGCATACTCAGCACGATTCCCCTTCTAAATTGTTAATAATAATTGTTACCTACTTGGATGGATACAGTTTCTTTAACTGCTTATACAATTAAATTATGTTATCATAATTATACTTAGTGGGGTCCACTCAGCCTCGTGAGGATAATAGAGGAGTTATTTCAAGGAAATGGCAGCTGCGGTCTAGAAAACTGAATGTAACGGCTGTGGAGATTCATTGCACTGACCACACGACACCCTCTATCTGCAAAAATTGGCACTAAAACTTCGCTGACAAGCAGCAGTCGCTTGGTCGGTATGGTTCACTTGCGGACTATAATCAAGGAGTTAATCGTACTTAGTGACCCTTAAGAGAATATGGGGTTCTTAACATAATTTTGTGTAAACTCCATTTCATGAAAACTTTGAGTCATTGTATAAAAGCCACAATCTCACAGCTTCATTAAATATGGGTTGCACTGTTTATATGGGCCATGACAGTGAAATCATTGACATAGTTACATAAGCAAATTCAGTGTAGGCAAGTGCAATGGCTGTCCACACTGAAGTTGCATAATTAATGACCTCATGATCCATATTAAATGTCTCTTGTCACCACAGCATAATGCATCCTCAGGCTGAAGACAGAAAACAGCCCCCTGATAAGGAGGGTATCTGTAAATATACTGAATAACCAGCTGCAGACATGAGACAGTGGGTAGCATTACAGCTTGGGGTCTGGTCAGGAGGCTAGTTAGTTAGTTAGTTATTGGAGAGGGTGGGTTTCCCCATGCACTTAGACCAGTATTGGTCCATTGTGCTTCCCTCTATGATATTCTACCAGTCTCTATACCCTACCGATATTGGTGCGTCCCATCAGTCCCCACTGAGCCAGCAAGTTCAGCCTCTACTGGCTTGGCGGTATCTATAATGCTTCCCCCATCTATCAATCAGAGGTGTTAGAGACTACTGTTGGGCGGGAAACGTCCTTGAATTTGGCTCAGTGAACTCCTTTGGAGATATGAGGTTCTTTTACGTGCCGTAAAGCTACGACATGGGACCCACAGCTTAAAGTCCCTCCCGGAGGACTTGTTCCCTGAATTTTTCGGCCCTTAAACATTCCACGACCTCCGCCGGATTTGAACCCGCGTACCACGAGTCATGAGGTGGGAACGTTACCTCTAGACTACGGAGGCTGCTGGTCAGGAGGCTAACAACTCAGTATAAATAAAACAGCATGTTGTGAAATACCATACAGGGCTTTCAGGCTGCCATAAAATATACCAGGACCTCGTCTTATAAAAAAAGAATTTACCAGGCTGCAGTCTCACAAAGTTCAGAACCACTGCTCTAAAGCGTTATCAAGGGACATTTTCATCTCAGTGTTCATCAATGAATTTCATGGTGTAATCTAAGGTGCAGATTTCCTGTCATCCCTCATAATCTAGGCACAAAATGTGATCTTACAAGCACTTCCGTGTCTATGACAAATTTTACTTGGAGAATGTCACAGATACATGTCAATTTTTATGCATAAAATATCAAATTGCAACATTTATCATCATTTATTAACACATATGATCATTTACTCAATCTTATTCTATCCTTTTAATTTTGAATGCATCTGAGTTAAAATTTTGGTAATGTATGATTTCAGAAACTGGCCCTAAACAAACAAAAATTCTGCATTACATCATCATCAAAAAAATATCCTTTAATTGTCTAAGATTAGCAACACTGAAAAAACATTCAGCCTAAAAGTGAAATGTTGTCAGAAGCTGTTTCTGGCATTACTCTTTCATGACAGCAATCCTCTTCTTGCCAGTATATTCAAAATTCTAAACATTTTTCATACAACTACATATACTGATAATGAATGTGTGTTTTATTTCTGTATATTTCCTTTTATGATCCAAATTACCTGAGAATGTGATGCACTGCACAGTTCTTGTATTTACTGTATAGTAAGGTAAAAAGTTAAAAGTTATCCCTGTACTTAAACATATAATTAAGCATCACATCATGAAGGCATACAGAGGAGTGGAGGTATGCCCCCATGATTCTTAAATTTGGCACTAGATGGAGCTGAGTAGTCAGCTTCATGCTCTTTCTGCTTTACTCTCTGGGATACAAACCCCAGCACCAATTGGCCAGAGATTGGGTGGGCCCCAGAGCTGGTCTGGACTTGATGGTGAGAGAATAATCGCCCTTGCTAGGAATCAAACTGTGGTTGTGCAGCCCAGAGCCTAGTCGCTATACCAACTGAGCTATCCTGGCTACAAATTCCCTCCTAGTCTACATCATCCCAGATTTGGCATGCAGTTTGCTCTGCTTTAACACTAAAATAACTGTTATATATTTTAAAATTTGTGGTAACTAGACCCTTTTCCAGAACTTTCCAGACTGCATGGTGTCACATCATAGAAGAGAGTACATACTGTCTGCACTTACTTTTAGATTAACCTTCTTACTAGCATCTAAACAACTTATCATGGCAGACCACAATCGCAATGTAAAATTCAATTCCAATTGCTCCTGATTTTCTTCAACATTTTTAATAACCTATTTTATATCACAGTTGAACAGCAATGGTTATAAAGTATTCCAATATTATCTGTGTATGAAAAAGTTTACAGCATACAGATGTTCAGTTGTCTTTGTTACGATACCATTATGTGAAAAAATTATTTTTCTTTCTACAGACATCAGTAAGATGACTGTTTCTTTTTGTTATTTGACAACATTTTACCAAATTAACTGGTTTTAGTGTCAAATGGTAGAATGGTTCTGAATGACAGAAAAGGATTTGGAAGGAAACAAGTCATGGTTATTTTAAGGTATTATAACAAACATTTCTTAAAATAACTGAGGAAAAACCATAGAAAATTTCAACAAGAACAGCCAGTTTCTGCTGTGATTCAAACTCAGATGTTCCACATACAAGGCATAATTGGTAATCACTCACCCAGTAACAACACTAAAGCCTGCAGTCTGTATGAACACACTGAATGATTCTGCCGGTCACAACACTGTATCACAATATCTTACCACATGTTAACCTCACAATTTAGTTATATACATCTCAAGATTATAAAAATGTTAACTGCAGTATTTCCAATACTACCATGAATGGTATATTGTCCAGTTCTTCAGTCCTTACTTATGAAATTTACAATCAACACAAACCTTGTCATCAACTGGAAAATCCAAGCAAAATTCAAACATCAATATACTGTAACACATGACCACCATAACTACAGTAAAACATATTACAATTCTCAGCTATGATTCATTTCCCTCCCTTTACTGTACTGTGTCTTGTACTGAGTAAAATAAGTTAGAAGTTCTTCCTATGAACATGTTACTCCACAGTTAAACTCACGTCTCAGCACACGATACACCGCTCTACTTGAGTACAAAGCAGTAGAATGTAGATCCTGGTATTTATGAGTGGTTTCTGAGTGACGATCTATTTAGCTCAGTTCAAAACCAGCTCCGGCCTGGATAGCATACAAGAGTTTCTCTCTTAAAACCACTTCTTCCCCAAACTCTGGCAGTTTGAGCAGGTTCATGCATGTACTAGCTGTCGGTAAGCGATCTACTGATCCCGCATGCTGAATGCAGAAAGGAGGATCCAGTTCCTATAGCAGAAAGCAGTCATTCTCATCAAACAAAACTTACTGCTACAATCGGTTCCCACAGTATCAAAACTGACAAACATTACGGCTGTACAGTATTTGAAGCTTTCATGGCAACCTGTGCAAAGAAATCTTCTGCAGCAAACATGGAGATAGTATCAAAGGTTGCAGAGACTGTTTCTGCCTCGATCAACAGAGGGGGTTGGTATCACAAGATCAACACACAGATTAAACTATGCCTAAAACATATCTGAGAATGTATCATTATGAGATAATGCTACAAAAGTTAAAACTCTATTTTCAACATATAACGGGACTCAAATTTTCCATACCTAACATAGGATTTTTCTTCCACGATGTTGCCTATTCAATTATGATGTACCATAAAAGATGTTTTAGAAAATACAATTTCTGCATGGCTATCACAAAGAAGACTTAAATGGGCATGTCTGTACTTTGCTTCGCACACAGTTGTCCAAATTCAAATCACTGAAGGCCACACTTTACCTCAGGTACCAACCCAAGGGCCACAACATAAAAGCAGAAAGTGCCAAAGATATACTGACCTTAAATCCAAGTAGTGGTGGCCTTGAGCAACTAGTGACAAACTTAAGAAGCTGACTTCGCTGATGATCTGTGAAATTCTCCACAACCTATAAAAATTCAGAAAAATAAACTGAACTCAATTTAACAGAGATTAACAAGGCATATGCATATGGAAACAATCACTAGTCAGCAACACTTCAAGACAGAAAGCACAAGCAGCCTGACATGTATCCCAACTGAGTTTAATTACTCCATGTCAAATTACTGTCAAGCACCATCTGATGTTTCTTGATGTAACATTCAATTTCAGTGATCCAAATCTGTTAATGTTAAAGCTAAATCTCATCATTTTAAAACTGTCCTCAGTTCAGTATTCAAATTCATTGCTCCCCAAAAAACCTTAAGCAGGGGGTTTACTGTATTTTTAAATCACCTGTACTTGTGATAATCATTTTCAGCATTGGTATTGCAGTTTAAAATGTCTGGAATTGAAGAGTACACACTTCTGGGATGTTCTACCTCCATTAGCAACAGCAAGAAGCAAGCTACCGTAACATACCTTCCAGAAGAGGCGAATAGTGGGATGATCTGACGCGTAGCCCCCTGTATAGTTTGTGTGCTGCTTCAAGTCCTCCACATCCACTGGAATCTGGGCCCCAGAGATCAGAACTTGTAATTCTTTGTTGTTGAACATCTGCAGCCATTCCAGTGGGATAACATTTGCCAAACCCTAGAAACAGAGTGTGTCCAAATGGAAACCAGCATTTTGATTGCGAGTACTAGGATAATCATGACACAGACTACAAAGAGTAACATCTTCTGGGATGTGATGCTGTTTAATCTGGTAGAAGTTTACCCAATATATGGCCTCCATCTTCAAGGTCAAAAGTGAGCCAAGCAAGCCACAAATAAAATGATCTTACTGCTTCATTGACTTACACTTCAAGATGAAGACATGTTACTCTGAAACATTGGATTCTCTCTGAACTACGTGGCATTACATCATCATCATCCGTAATCTGTCAGATGACAGGTCCAGAGTCTCTTCCAAAACAATTCCTCCACTTAATGCAATCTAGAGCTTTCTCCTTCAAATGACAGTATCCTCTTCTGTCCCCAAGGTCATCCAGCATCTTCTTACGTCTTCTTCCTCGTCTTCTTGTCATTTCTATCTGCCCCTCTATCTTTCCTTCAATAACTTCTTTTAGAAGGCAGTTTCTGCGTATAACATGACCAATCCAATTAGCCTTCCATTTTCTTATTTGATGTAGGATATTCCTCTGCTCACTGACTCTAATTAACACTTCTTCATTTCTCACATAATCGGTCCAACTGATCTCCATCCTTCTCCAACACCACATTCTGAAACTTTCCAGATGTTTCTGATCTACTGCCCTAAGTGTCCATGTTTCAGCCCCATACAGAGCTATGCTCCAAATATAGCATTTCACTAGTTTCTTCCTCAAATTTAACCATTACAACCTGGAAGATTACACATTTGCTAGTCAAGGCCATTAGAACCTGAAATCTGACATTCAAATCTATTAATATCAAAAAAGAACTTTCAGTGGGACAGCAATATCTGATACATTGGCTACAGTCACAACATTCCACTTAAACAGCAGGGTGCATTAGCTATAATCCATGGAAAGTACATAAACAGATTGGTATTTTAGTTAACAATCAATTTGAATTGAATTGAATTGATTTTCATTCCATAAACCCTAAGCAGGTTAATACCTATGGATATAGAACAAGTCAAAAGAATACCTACTGTGTAATGAAATAAAAACCTGCAAGAAAAAAAATGTTGTAGCCTTCCTCAGAGATGTCTGATGATAAGCGGGTTTCTATTGCTTGAGACAATGGCTAACAATCAACTGATGGTTATCCAGTAAATAATTATACATACAAAAACAGAGTAAGATATTTATGTAGATATTAAGTAACTCCATTCTGCAGAGTCCTTCTTGAGAAGCTAATGGTAACATAGGTAATCAAATCACTCCCAGCATTTCAGGAACCTGAACATTCATTAACACATTCATACTGTCATCTGTATGAGTAGCTACAGACAGTTTAGATTGGAGACTGGATTTATTGACAAACACTACTCATAACTATAAGTAATTATAGTGCAACTGCTAATCTCCACACTTTTCAAATCACTACAGCAGATTCTAAGTCTTTTCAATCTGCTGTGACTTAACTGGTCATTCCCTGGTAACAGCTACTAACAGTGGATATTCTTGAACTGCACTGAATAAGTCTTCTCTTCACAGACTCCCTTATAGTGCTCTCTGAGCTCTTGCTCCAATTGTCCTCCTTATAACACCTCGGCATGGACCACGTAAAAAACACTGTTCATTGTTGTACTCCAATCATTTCCATGGGAACATATTTGTTTGCCAAGGCATTACTCAGCAACAGCTACATATACTTGCTTATTAAGACTCTGTTTACCAGCAGCACATGCTGTTTCAGCGTTTGTTTCAAGGTCATTACTCAGGAACAGGTCTATATGCTACAATTACACTTGATCTATACAAACCTTCCAATGTACATATAGGAGAAGAAAATAATAAAATTCTGCAAATAAAAAAGTCTGCCACAGGGACTGAACCATCAGAACATGACACCATGAGAACCACCAATATCAGCATCCAAACTTTGTGGTTTTTTTGCTTAGTGAGGGGTGGAGTCCAACTGGATCCACTCGGCACAGCAGCCACTGATTGGCCTATTGTAGCCTGCCCCGGGTGATTATGATAATGGAGAATTTGGTGGAATGAAGATTGGCAGGTGAAACCGAAGTACTCGGAGAAAACCCGCCCCAGCGCCACTTCGTCCACCACAATATCCCACTTGACCAAACCCGGGCCACCGCAGTGGGAAGCCAGCAACTAACCGCTTGAGCTATGGTGCGACCCAAAGCAGCCTCCATAGTCTAGGGGTAACGTTCCCACCTCATGACTCAAGGTACACGGGATCAAACCCGGCAGAAGTCGTGGAATTTTTAAAGGCGGAAAAATTCAGGGAACAAGTCCTCTGGGAGGGACTTTAAGCCGTGGGTCCTGTATCGTAGATTTACAGCATGTAAAAGAACCTCATGTCTCTACGAGACTTCTGAGCAAAATTATTAGGTAAAAACTTTCCCGCCCAAGTAGTTTCCAATGCCTCTGGCAGATGGGGGAAGTATCAAGGTACCGAGGGCCGACCTTGTTGGCTCAACGGGGCTGATAGCACGCACTGTCTACCGGTAGGGTATGGGGACAGTAGAAATTAAAGGGGGACGCACAATGGACCAATAACTGGTCTAAGTGCATGGGGAAACCCACCCCCTCCAATAATAATAATAATAATAATAATAATAATAATATGGTGCGACCCAACTTTGTGGTTTACTCACCTGTCTGAAAGCATTGCACTGCGCTCGAATTTGTCTATTAAGCTTGTAATCAGCCATGAGGTGGATATACTCAATACGGTTGGAAGCTGTGACAGGAATACTGGACCCCCCAGGCTTCAGCTCATCAACCTATAACAAACATTGCACCTAGCATAGCTAATTCAAAAACAAAATGTGTCATTCACCCTGCAAAATGCTGACAAATATTTTATATAATACAATATGTTCAGATGGACAAACTTCTAATTAACCAGGATTATTTTAATTTCTGAGTATTGTACAAATGAAATCTATTCAGGCACTTTTCTTAGTGAAGGAGCAGAGGTCATTAAAAATGGTCCCCATGAATACCAGATTTCCCACTTTTTCGATTTGCTCTGCTAAGCAGCTCATAGTTGACTGCTGCTGTGTCAAGAATACAGCTACATGACTACCCTCACTACAAACAGGTTTCACTTGAACAACCCTCATTTTTTAAGTGGATTATTTTATGATGATGTCAGTATCACACTATCACACACACAGTGTCAAACTAAAGGTTAATAGTGATAAACTGAATAGGATTTAAAAAGAAGCAGTCTTGGTCTGAAAGACTATGCCAGCTTTTCCTGGAAGGACAGATGAAAAGCATGTAAACCTCAGTAAGTAAAGCAAGTGTCCTGGCCAAGATCCGAACTGAGGATCCCCTTAATACAAGTCTTGAGTGTTACCACTAGACTAACCTATCTGGTATAACCCTTGTACTTACATAGTGAGGAAGTTACTGTGTTAGCTCACATATAAGAACACTATTCTTGGCAGTTATATCTTGTGGTATCTAATACGACATAGTCAGTTAAAGCCAACTGATGAATTGGAGGAACACTAAACATAAAGTTATGTTATGATATAAGTTAACCTTACCCTTGTTTCACCAAGTTCGTCATTGAGAACAGTGAAGTCTAGTCCAAGGTCAGCAACATCTCCTTCATAACTCTTGAGAAAGAGGAGGTTGCGATACATTATAGGATCAAGTGAAGCTAAGTGATGAACATCAACGTCTGAATGTCGGCCAACTAGCTTGGAGAGGAAGAACTCTGCCAATGGAAGTTCAACAAGCAAGTTTTCATACAATGCCTGAAAACAAACAGTAGGGTGATTGGAGATTAATAACCTGAAAAGGATTTTGAAGGAAAAATTTGGGAATTAATCAAAGTATTAATCCAGCACTTTCCAGGAGGGACTGAAAATCTCAGTCATGATAGCTGGTCTCCCAGATGAGATTCAAACCAAGCATCTCCTAAACAAAATTCTAGAATGTTACCACTAAACCAAACTCAACTACCTGGCTCTTGACTGAGACATTCAGAAAACAAGAAACTCTTAACATCCTCATGTACTGTATAGCACTGAAAATATTAAATACATTTTGAAACAAATAACATTTCCTGTTCTTCAATTAATGTTACACACAAAACAAAAACATCTTAGATGTTCTTCATTTCAAATAATTTTCTGAGATTCATACTGTCAATAAAAAACTGGATAAAAACATGTATCAGCATTTGGTGTTATCTATGAAATTTGCTGTAAATGGTTCATTACTAATGATCACAAATAGAGATAAAACTTGTAAAAAAATAAATAAAGCACCACTTCTAAACTGCCTTCCACATATATATGATTAAACTGGTTACATATTCAATGGAAGCTGACACAAGAGTGTTAACTTACCTTCCCTAGAATTCGCGCAATGAAAAAATAATGTCTTGGAAAATCAACTATAAGTAGATGAACATTAGGGTTCGGATATAATTGATTGTCTTTTGTGAGACGGAAGAAACCCCTATTGGGGTCAAAAGCTGTTTTCAGTAGCTCAGACAGGAATTCCCTGAAGACACCCCCACCATCAACACCAGCTTCATCCATTCCCACCACGTTCACGAGCTGTACCCTCATTTTCAGCCTCAGATCAGGTTCTAGGAATGTCAAAATTATAACCTATTAATCAACATTTATATTGAAGACTACAGTCTTGTGGGTTGTAATTCTGTGCAGTTTGGAGACAGCCCGACATTTTGCAGGAACTTATCGCCCCCATCAGCAGGGTCAAAGTGAAAGCCAAGCAAGAAACCAGAAGAAAGCAGACAGCTAGCTCAGCTATGGCATGTTACTATGGGCTCTCTCTGAACTACATGGCATTACAACCTACAAGACCACGCTCTTCATAATTACCACCACGAGATCTTCAAATCCAGAATATTTATATTGCATTGGTAACATCTAACCAAATACCAATTCATTCAATAATAAATATTTCTTGGAAACTGTACAAGCCAGGAATTTTATTTTTTAGAACTGAATTAAAATTCATGAGTGGCTGTCATAAATATGTTTTGTCTTTATCCAGCCTTCATAGAACTTCCAAGGAGGTAACTGAAAGTTTTCTTCCTGTCTTCCTGGGCTAGAACCATATGTGGTGGAGAGGTCTACATGTCTTGATCACTTCAAGAGGTACACTAGCCTGGGTAGGGACCAGACAAATGTAGCCTCCAGCCCTCCTGTTGGGCATGAGGCAAAAAAGCTCACCTTGATAAACAAGTGAAGAAACCTAAAGATGGATGTCTCAAGGGTAATTTAGGAAAACAATTAGGGAAAGTTTACAGCGTCAACCAGTTATACCTTTACCGAATGATTTACAGGAAGTGAAAGTGAAGAGTTGAGGGCAAGAGACAAATGACAGAGGAGGCAAGGTTCTCAGAGGACTGCATAGACAAGGAGTAAGCAATGATATGCAAGTATTCCAAAGAGATGATAGAATATGATATAATATAAACAGAAGCTGTGGGTTTACCGTTCTCTGGGGAAAGATTGTCGAAGGCATCTTCGTACAGGTAATTCCGTCTCACAGCCACCTGTATGTTTGGCCCCTGCAAGAAATGACTGTGTTCTCCCTGATGTTCTAGTTTGTCTTTTAATACCAGACTCTGGAAGACAAGCACACGTTCCTGGAATGCAACCAGGAAAGGAAGTTCTCGCAAAATTGTCATGGTCCGTACTTCTTTTGTTGATAGTGGGGGCCCTTCCTCTGTAGAGAAAACATCACATGATTTCAATTCATGGAATTCCTCCATCCCTCCAAGCAAATTCTGGGGTAACACCTCAATCACGTACTAAAACCAAAAAAATAAATCATTAGTGATAAGGGATGATTAGAAAGTATGGAAATATTTTTGATATTAGTTTCTTTTTCCTGGGTGGGTCGAGACTGAGCCCACTTGGTACATCGGCCACTGTTTGCCCTATTTTACAAGCCCCAGATGATAGATGATGATTGAGTGTGAAGCAGTCGGTGAAATGAGAATTGGCAGGGGAAACCAAAGTACTCAGAGAAAACCTGCAACAGCGCCACTTTGTCCACCACAAATCCCACATGACCTGACCTGGGCTCAAACCTGGGCCGCTGCAGTGGGAAGCCAGCAACTAACCGCCTGAGTTATGGCAAGGCCTTTTTGATATTAGGTTTAAATCATGTTCAACAAAACTAAGTACATTTTAGTGTCTAGACCATGGGTCAGCACATAGGTCCTTTTTATGAGGTTCACATATGAATTTTCATAACTCAAGAAATGCAAAAAGTGTGGTGAAAGAAGAATAAGTAACAAGAAGGACAACTGATAGCATTCAGTATAATTCAAGCTTTAATTAAAATCCACTGAGTCTGTGAATGACTAGAATGAAGAAGGAAGATTTCATTTATACTGAATATGGTGCAAGAGAAAGATAGAAGGGGGAGTGGTAAGTCAAAGAAATAAACACAAAAGCTCTTATATACAGAGTTTCTAACAACAGGTCCACGAATTCTCATTTAAATATTTATTTACTTACCAAGTTCTTCTCTAGTGAATGCTCTTAGCCCTTGGAAGGGACGATAATTCCTAAGTCTGTGTCTTCGTAGCGTAAAATCTGATGGCTTGTCTAATGGAAACATCACTTGTTTAGATATCCAGTGACCTTCAGGGCAAAATGGATGCCGAATGTCTCGCGAATTTAACTGTCGCACCAAGCCAACTGTCACCTGTACTAAGAAAGTTCAATTACAAGCGTAGGGACACAAATTAACATATATTTACAACACACACACACACAGCATTTTTATGCACATACTATATGAAAAACATAAAACGGATACATAATTTGACACCAAGTATGTTCATCTAGATGTTTCATCTCTGAAAACACTCAATGGATTTTGATGAATTTGATACTGGTGACCTCACACAATAAGCAGACAAATTTAATTTCTTGTTCATATATATAATCAATATATATTCTCCCCCTTACATAAATCCCTAACTGAATTTTAACTTTCTCACACACAGCCCACTGCATACGACTGTGTAAATAACTTAACACCTTTAGGACCAACTTTTATTCAAAACATTTTTTGGTGTGATAGATGATTAACAAAATACATGGAAAATTAGAACAGGTCTCCATATAGTGTATTTTATTTATAATCCTATGTACTTCATTTTCATTTTCACTGTTCATTTTCAAGTCAAGGAGGATGAGGTGGGCAGGCCATGTAGCACGAATGGGGGAGACAAGGAATGCGTATAGGATATTGGTGGGACAGCCGGAAGGAAAAAGACCACAGGGACGACCAAGGTGTAGGTAGGTGGACAATATTAGAATGGATCTTAGAGAAATAGGACGGGACGGCATGGATTCGATAGCTCTGGCTTAGGATAGGGACCAGTGGAGGCCTCTTGTGAACACAGTAATGAACCTTTGGGTTCCACAAAATGCTGGGAAATTCTTGAGTAGCTGCAGAATTGGCAGCTCCTCAAGAAGGGCTCAGCTCCATGAGTTAGGAAGTAAGTAAGTAAGTAAGTAAGTAATGTACTTCATTTAATGCTGTCAGTAACTCAGAATACGGATAACAGCGAAAAGCAAATTGAAATCAATGTTGAAGGAAGTGGTTATGATCTAATGAGTGGGGCTACCCCAGTATTTGTGTGGAGGGAACAAGGAAAACTATGATCATATCACTCAGGATAATCTACCAATATCCTGGCTGAGATCTCAATCAGGCAGCTCTCATATTCAAGCTAGAAGCATTACCATTTATGTCAACTTGTTCAGTGAAAATCTCATACAAAAGAGATAATATTAATGTACCTGTGAGGATATGAAGTAGAATGGAGTGGCTCTGAACAGCATAAAATGGCACCAGCAATGAGCTTAAGACATTAATTCACTGACTGCCACAAAGAAGAATATTATACCTTAAAGAGGTGTGCCCACATTTGCGTCTCCTGGTTACTGACATTAGAAGGCTGCTCTCGGCCATGCACTGCCGTACGATAATCATCCCGTACACTTGGTCGAGAGTCAGGAAAAGCCAATTCCACTAACCCGAGGCAAACTTCTTTCAGTGTGAGGCTCAAAGGAACTAGCGCCGATAAGGGAAACGGCATTGCTGTTGGCAGCGTACCTGAAATACAGAAGGCAATATATTACTTTTATTACCATTGACATATATTAATTACTCTCAATACGCTGTTCTGATTCCAAGGTTCAAATCAGATTTGGTATTACAATATTTTGTACAGTCTACCTCTTCTCCTACCTTCTGGTGTGAAAGGTAAAGATAAACTTGTCCCTGTACTTAATTAAGCACTATGCCATGCAGACTTTATAGGGTAGCAAAGGTACAGCTCCATGCACTCTTACTTCTGGGACAGATGGAGGTGAGAGATCACCTCCAAGCCCCACCTACTTTCATCCCGGTTCCCATTGGATACGAGGATGGGTGGGTTCCAGAGCAAGTATGAACACAGTGGAATAGAGAAAAGTCCCTTGCCCATGATGGGAACTGAACCAAAATTCTTTGGTTGTCCAGTCCATAACCCAGTCACTATAATCACTGAGATATCCCTACCTTAAAATGTATATAATAAAACATTTCAGCAGACCCATTATTTCCAGGTAATGGAATTAATTAATTTGATATTCAACTATTTTGTTTCTCCTGTCTAATTGCTTTGTTTCCTATACAATCAGTTCCCCTAGAATATGCAACAGCCCTAAGGAACCTCATTTCAGCTGTATCAATTTGGTTCTCCTGTTGCTTAGCTAGGGTCCAGCACTCCATATAAATACAGTCATTATTTCCCAAACCTTTAGGACAGTCTCTGTTCTTGCTTCATTGCACAGAACTCATGTAACTGACTTGGGGGCGGAGCACTCGACTATGACCACTTAATCATTCCTCAAAACATAAGGAGGTGTATGTACCTGCATGGTTATCATCAGCATAAAACTCAGAATCATGAAGAGTGGCTATAAGGAGGCTGAAGAGGGAGCAGAACACAGCAAGAAGTGGAATGATGCGGTCACTGTCTTCAGGAGACATCGGAATTCCTCTTGAAATGACATGCAGCAATGGTGTGGCACTTCCGAACAGTGAAGTCTGACAAACAGATAGTATGGCTGTCCACAGGTGTCGCAAGAATGTTGGCTTAAATGCCAGCATATACAGCAACCTATGATAAACATTAACTATTAACTAAAAAAGCATTTCTGTAAAGTTACTTAAGAATGGGGAAAATTGAAGTTGGTGATGATTGTTCATACCGCAAGGACACAAAACTCTTTAATTTGTGAACTGTACATAATATGACAAACATTTAAGCTTTCTCAGAACTCAGTCCTTAAAATTACTTTACAACATGGAGAATATTATCTTCTGGGATGTGACACTATGCAATCCTGTACAAGTTCACCAGCATTTTGGAAGAACATAGTACCTCCATCTTCAGGGTTAAAGAGTAACCCCAGAAAGCAAGTATCAAGCAAAGCTTGCCTAATGAACCACCAGACTACATATCCTCATAGTCAGTGCTGTGAGAACCTCAAATCCTATTTTATAACTTGGCAAGTGCAAAAATTACTTTTCTAGTTCAAGATGAGATGACAAATTTTTGAGAGCTGAGTCAATGACAAATTTCTTTATTGAACCTATGGTATTGTGACATAATAGTGAAATTGCAGAAGACATCCACTGCTATGCAACGACTCGGTAAACACATTCCCACGGCAACATATATATGCAAGCAACAATCGATTAACTTCCGTTGTTGTGCAACCTCCACATATATACTAGCCATTTCATTTTGAATATTGTAACAAATGTTATATTAAGACAGCTACAGGAAATATATTTCTGACAAAACAAAAAGTATACTAAATTTTGGCATGGAAATCTCTATGAAAAGTGGCCTCTTATGCATGAGACATGAGGTTCTCATGGTGATGACTATGAACACTGTCATATTCTGGAATGTGATGCAGTGTAATTTGGTAGATCATTAGTAACATTTCAGAGAAACAAACATCAGTAATGCTCTACCAGACTGCACTTTCTAGACAGAACTGTCACGAAACAAACTTGTGATATAGGTCAGCCCAACTTGACAGGAAGAGCGTCCATCTTCTATGAGACAGACCACATTTGCAAAATCTCACTTGACACTACACAGTAACAATTATTATTCTCTTGGTTTATCTTTGTACTTTGTATCATGGTTATACCAAGAACATATCAGATAATGAAGGCCGACTGTACTTTTCTCTCCAATAAAAACGTTGTGAAGGACAAAACAACTTACTTATACTTGTGAATTGCGAACTTGTGTGATACAAGGAGATTATGACACACTTGACACAAAGCCTGGAGGACATGTGGGTCCTCTGACTGATCAACTGCCAACAGCAAGGTTTGAACCCGGGATAACTCATTTAGCATCTCCACACATTGCTCCAGAATCTGGAATTACACATATAAAAGGTAGTATTACATCTGATAAGATCTTTTCAGGCTATCAGCTATGTCAATTGGTAAAGTTGTCCTGTGATTAATTAATTGATCATATCATGAAGGCACAATTGGGAGTGGAGGAATAGCTCCACCATTCTTGACCTAGGCACCAGATGAAGGTAAGTTGTCAGCTTCACACTCCAACTGCTTTACCCCAGAGAAAGAGCCCTTGGTATCCACAGGACAGGAAGCTGGGTGGGCCTCACAGCATCAGTTGCTTGAATTATTTAATTTTATAAAAGCCACAGTGAAGCCTCAAAACAAGACTATTACTTTGGACACTGTCCATCATCTTGAGTTCTTTTTAAACACATTTCAGGAACTAATTTATTTATGACATCAGTTATACGCCTAGCTTACTCATACAAAAACAGTAAATCTGCATGCACTACAAATATATTTCTTTTTTAATTAGATAAATCTGTAGGAAAGAAGTCGTGACATTAAGTAATCTTGAAGTACTAGTACTCACTTGTAGCTCTTGATTACTACTGTCCTCATGGTCCATTTCACTATCTGAATCATCTCCTGAATCACCAGATGTGTCATGACCACTGTGCACTGTACCTCCAATAGATCCACTGTACACCTTACTAATATTTACAGTCAGGGATGCTAATATCTGCAGGTAAATTAAAAGCAGCCCATCTCCAACACTCCGTCTTGGAACTGAAACAAAACTCAGTGGGACTGGAGGTTCTCACAGAGGCAAAAATCAAGAATATTATTATTATTATTGGGGCACATGGTAGCGTAGTTGGGGTGGAATTACTCAATTAACCTAATTCATCCAGCCGCACTATGGCCCTGGGGTTGACTCAGCCTCTAACAGAAATAAGTACCAGGTATGTTCCTGGGGGGGTAAAGGGTGGCTGGTGCTTAAGGCTGACCTCACCACCATCTGTGAGCCAATTGTCTAGTGAAAATGTGGGGGCCTTAACATCTCACAACCCTATGGGCCTTCACGGCCTGTTATAGGGATAGCTTTACCATTTTTTAACTTAACTTTATTATTATTATTATTATTATTATTATTATTATTATTATTGTTATTGTTATTATCATTTATTTGCTTGTTTGTTTACTTTTCTTCATTACTATGTTTTCCCAAGAAATTTCCTGTAATTTATTTTTGACTTATAAGGTGTTTGAAGAAAGCAGTCTTCTGGGATTTGGCACCGTGTATATGTGGTGTTAACCGACGTTTCGGAGGAACGTATCGCCCCCATCTTCAGGGTAGAAGAAAAAGTATAAGAAATCTGCAAGCGACAACACCGTGAGAAACGGTAAAGCAG